AGTCCTTATAGATCCTGTGATTCAGTGTTAGAGTTACAGGACCAGGCCTGAAGGAGAGAAATGTTTTCAGCTGATGCTTCAAATACTGTAGTTGTCTCTATATCTTGTGTCACTTTATCATCAGGGTATTTCATCACTTTCAAATCTTTTTTTTTTTTTTTTTTTTTTTTTTTTTTTTTTTTAAAAAACAAACAAAACGACCCCACCTTGATTCCTGAGAACTGCTCAGGGCACAGTTAGGCCATGGATAATAGCCAGGGTTGGTACTTAGATTTTGCTATTGCAACAACAATTAAAGATAATCACTAAAGAAAAAAAAGCTTCAGCATGGTTTCTGTTCTTGATTTTTACACTTGCACTGGAAGAGCTAGGTGTCTTTGAAAGGGGAGCTTGTTTGCCTTAATGGTCCTCTGATGGCACTCGAGCAGGACAGCTGCATCAGTGCCATTTCTGTCCAGTGCTACATCTGCTTTCCACAAGCTTTTGTGCCTTCACACACTGTTCTGTCGCTTGTGTCCCTTCGCACCCTCATCCACCATTGCACAGCTATCTGCATCCACCACCTCTGAAAGCTGCCCCAGGAACAGTTGATTTCCACCTTTTGTCAGTGCTACATCTAAGTTACCTGAGCTTCTCAAGGGTTCTTGTAATGATGGGTGTAGAGGATACCTCCTTTTGGTTTTGAGATTGCCAGACCTTTTCAGGTTGCTCAAAGCCTTTTTTTTTTTTCTTTTCATTTTTTTCTCCTCTCCTTTCTTTAACTTGCTGGAGAGGCTGCGATTTAGTTTCTGCAGTGTACAGAACTTCCTGCAGGAGTTAAGTCCCGCAAGCTAGAGTTCAGACAGTGACAGAAACAGATGGGTTTTGATGATTTTGCAGCCCTTGTATAAGACAACGGCATGCCCTTCCTCATCCTCCCTCCTCAGGGATGCCATTGCTCTATGGAACCTGCTGCTGTGGGGTGTTGATTCCCTCCACGCTGGCTGCCTCAACATTGCCCCAAGAGAAATTTGTATAAGAATGATCTGCAAACGTGTGCTAGAGCAAGCTAAGTGTCCTAAATACTTGTCTGGCTTAAGAAATCCTTTGAAACTTTGTGCTATTGGTTGAGAGGATATACCATGGTTTACAGTTATATATCTATATATGTCTGTGAACACGTGTGCCTGTGTTTCTCTTGTGATTCTGCTGTTCCCTAGCCATAAGCATTTCTTGTGTCAGAGAACCATGTCATGAGCTCAGTCAGGCCTTGGTCTGACTCGGCACAGCCAATCTCCTGCCCTTATTGTTACAGCAACAGACTGTGGACAGACTGTGCTTCAAGCATTCCCAAGGAACAAAGAGTAAAAAGGATCACATTCTGTGATAAAACTTATCAAGACCTGGTGTTTTAACAGATCTTTTGCAGCATTTTTTTTTTTTAACTGACTTAAGTGTCATGTCAGCTTGCAAGCTTGCAGAGGTGATCTGGGTATTCTTGAGTGGCTCAGGAAACCATATTTTTTGCTCTTTTCCCCAGACGTGACCCATTTCTGTCTAGGATGATCACTCCATTCTGAATCAGAGCATAGGCTTTTGGCTGAGGTATATGTCAAACAGAACTGATTCCTTAAAGCCAAGAATAAATCCAACAATTTATACATATGCAAGGAGCCTCTCTGCCTGGTCTGCTCAGCCCTAGCAATTCGATTACCTTTTCAAGCCTCTCTTGCAAGAAGGAAGATCAGTTTTTCTTCTCTGCTCCTCCTTCAAAAGTAATATTCTTTACAGCATGAAAAGCTGTCATGTATAATGAAGGGCCCGTGTGCATGCCATCAATATTGGGTGGACTTCTGCCAGGGAGAAGATGATATTAAGACCTGTTGCAGAAAGAAGAGATGAACTTTTTTGTTTAAGAGAAAGGATTCTCAGAACTTGTTTTAAAGGACCTGAACTCGCCATCCGTAGTGGCAAATATGAGTTTTATTGTCCAGCGTGGGAGCAGGAGTATCGCATTACCGGACTGACCACAGCACATCTCCGGTAGGACAGCAAGTGGTGCAGATTACAGGGGATCTTGTGACTGGGCACTGCTTAGCAACAACACATGTTTAGGTCAGAAGCTTAGCGACATAATGCATGCTAGGACAGAAACTAGATGACATAATTCATGCTGGGATGGGTAGGTAATATCTGACTGCATAACACACAACATTCAAAGCAAGTAACCCTATCACTGCCTTCTGGCAGCACGCTTCATAAAGAAAGGAATGCAGAAAGGAACAGCAGCATTAAGGATGAGAAATCTAACTTAGAATTTGGAGAACAGTCAAGTTTGTTCTACAAAAATTTCTTCAGGTGGAACTCCTATTCTTGTTTACCTGGTTAAAAAAAAAAATACTGATTTTCTTCACATCCTAAGTTTATAGGACACGTCACAGCAAAGAGTCGATATTGTGGTCAAAATCTTGACTTTTTCCAGATTTTTTTTTTGTGTGCATATGTGATATTAATGTTGTGTTTTTACATTGTGAGGTATAAACTTTCATGTTTTGATGTTACAGAGAAAAAACATAGAACTTACTGTGGTTAATTGGGTTTTAAAGATCATGTCAGAGTCAGTTTTCCTGCTTGGTAGCATTTTGGAGTTCCTTTTCAAATTAATAGGCCAGGCCTACGCATATTGCCCTTAAGTCACAAGATCATACCTTTGTAATGGAAAGACATGTTTGTGGCAGATGTTTTCACGTGATGCTTTTTTCCGTGGTCTGAAATTTGTTTTTCTGAACTTGTTAATTTTTCAACTTCAGATAAGCATATATTATGTTACTTTACATTATGCAGAAGTCCCAAAGGAGTTAAGAGTTCATTCAGTGCTTCACTGAAGGCTAATGTAAGGATGTAGTCACATCCCAGGAAATGCACATTGTATATGTCTGCAGTGATGTCTGGAAGAGAATATGGCCTGAATGCTGTTTGAGACTTCCTCTGGTGCAGGACAGATTTCTGTGTGTTTGTTCTTAAGAAAACAAACTCTACAAAATATACACGATCTCTGCACTGATTTAATTCTTTTAAAGAAAGCTGTCTTCAGGCAGCTCTTGCCAGAGATGTAACAATAACTTTTTTTCAGAAAAAAATTACAGGTTTTCCTTTCAAATCAAGAAAATTGTGAGGTTACAAGGTCTTATCTCTTTTAATATTCCTGCTCTAAATATTTAGGGCATGTGAGGCATGTGAGGCATGTCTATCTGTGGCATCCTCTGTCTGGAGGATTCTGCAAGTCTGAGATACTTTACTGTATAAGAAAATCAGTCACACAGATTTCACTTGCTACTCAGAAACAGGCTCAATGCATCTTTTGGAACAGACAACAAAGCTGTGTAGTACAATAGGGTTTAGCTGGAATTTGAATATTCTTCCTTTCTCCTCCCCCTCACCTCTTTGCTGGGTAACTCTTGAAGAATGTTTTTAATTGACTAACATTTTATTAAGCAGTTTTCAGCTGGTCACAGGTCACAGCCCTCACTTACCTACAGAAGTGTGCAGCCACAATTCTCAAATGGCAAACTGGCTGTTTCTTTACCTCACACAAGTCAAGAAACAACATTAGGAGTGGTTTCTCTCAGGCCAGGCTTGGTAAAGGGATTGATGTTTAAATCAGAAGATGGAAATTGTAAATCCAGTATTAACATCTGAGTGTTATGTAAAGCCATAAAAGTAACAGTTTATACCTGAAATTTGTGGTTTTATTCGTAATTTCTAACTTCAGCAGCTAAAATCATCGTTCTGATTTGCATAGTGCATGAAGCGTCAGCCGAACCAACAGCTCACATTGGTAAAACGTGAGTGAGCACTATGAAAATGGAAATTCTGTGACCTGCTTGCTGTGTCCAGCAGACAACGAAACTCCAGCATGTTTCAACTCAGACTAAAGTGTCTGTGTCATTGCTAAGTCTAATTAATGCCGTTGATTTCTCGTCAGAACAGGCTTAAGGTATCTTGTTTATGAAAAGAAACGGAATATGTGTATGAGACAAATCTAGACCTGGGGCCATCTACAACTGTGGAAAGACCAATATCTCGCTCTTTGCATCATATTGTCCAACATTTCAGCATCTGGGTGTCTTCCCAAGTGGTCCAATCTGCCACCCTGTGACGCTGCTGGGGAAGTAAATACAGAGTGAATGAAGGTCATTTATTCACTGTCCTACAGGAAATACTCAGTAAAGCTGGAATTAGAGCCTGTTCCTTTGTCCTGATCAAAAACATCCAATGCATGTTTTAGCTGATCCTCTCTTTGGTGGGACAACCTTTGTTTCAGATGTAAAACTAACTCTGTTTCACACACAGCTTGGCTTTTCTTGCTGCTGTTATCAACAATTTCAAATCCAAAAGGGCAATTCACCCAGTGGTAGCAACTGTTATTGTTATAGCCTGGGAACATGATACTGTTTCAGAAACTACAACTTGTTTGTTTTAGTTCTGGAGAGCCTTAAACCTTTTTCTCTGTGATAAATCCCAGCAGCTCTTGGCCTGAATGGCTTTGTGTAATTGAAGGAGTAGCTACTACTTAGCTGGCTTGTTATCTAGAGGTTATGGAGCCGGGGTTATTAGAAATGTCATATGCAGATACATCCCAATATTTTGTCTCAATAGCATGAAAATATATGTATATATATTTTAATTTTAGGGGTAAGATCAGAAACCTGTTTGTAATACCTACTGCTGTTCATGTAAGCTGCACCTAGCACTGAAATGTGGGTGGCTCAAAGGCCTGTTGTCTTCAAATCTCACCTGTGAGAGTTGTTACTCGCTCAAAGGAAGCAAATAACATCAGATCTGCTGGTTATCCTCCTTTCCATCATGGGCAATCTATAGCCTTTTGCAGGGAATCCTCCAGAGATCCACACAGGGCATACTAGCACAGTCCTTGGAACGGGCTCCACAGGTTTTTCCCTGTCATGTGGGCTTGTTGATGTCTTGCTACTGGAAGAATATTGATACTGTCTGTTTGGTAGATCTCCTTGAAAATGTTGGACTGAACATCCTGAGTACCTGGATCAAATTTAGCATGAAGACTGAACTGCTGTGCTTTTGCTGCCTTCACTGTTCATCAAGTTGTCTGGTAAGTCTAGAATTTTAATCTCTGTTTCCTAGTTTGTGTTGATTCCCTTACTGGATCTTTCTTTACCATCTTTCATCACAGAAAAGCTGTTGGTTTACATTTTAAAAAATTACTGAAAATAGTGTTACATGTATATCTCTAGAAGATGCATGTTTTTATTGCTATGTGTAGATGTTTAAGGTGCGGATGTTATCCTCGACAGAGAATGCCAACCTAGGGCTTTTCAAATCGTACAGTGTTTGAATTGGCTGGGGATGGATGGGAGAGTGATTTTTTAAGTAAAACAAAGCATTAAATTGGGAAGCTGGCAAAGAGCATTGTGCTAGAGACTGATACCTAGGTATCGCAGCCTCTTGACTATTGGCCATATGTCCCTCATTTAGAGGTCTTTTATCTAGATGTCTTTCATCTCCGTGTGCTAGTAGCAACACACATGAATTCAAATTAATTCTTTCCAGAAAGCCTTCTTGGAAAAACCAGTTCACCTCTAGAAAGGGAATCAGCCAGAGACAGCTTTGAAATTACCCATTTGATCTGAGTACCTAGCTAATGGAATGGTCTGACACGGACTGCATCTGTCTGCCATTTTTTGAATCCTGTTCAAAATCTCCTGTTCCAGTCCTGATCCATGTCCTCACATACTCCTGCAGGAAAGATACTGAGTTAGGTTGAAGTCTGAAATTACTATCTTCTGCAAATATGAATCCTAGATCCTATAAATCTCCAGATTATGAAAATCCATCATCCAAACACCTGGTACTATGCCTTCAAAGTCTGGCTGCGAAGCCTCATCCTACTAACCTAAGCAATCTTATCAAGCTTCTGTTTTTCTAATGGACTCAGTGTGTCCAAACCTTTTAACACCAAGAATCTTTTAATCCAATTTTGCTGTTTCACTTCATTTCCAAAAGCATGCTATCTGTTCTAAGGCTGACAGCAGTGAAACACAGCATTTCCAGGGATGGCTCTTATAGCAGAAAGGAACATGTTTTCACATTTCTCCAATGTTGAGCTTGTTTCAATGTTGAGTTTTTTCCCCACGTCACAATTGGTGCCCACAAATTTGGAACAGTTTTCTCAGGGGTAAGTGACTTAAGAAAACAAAAGCTGATAAAGCAGCCATCATGATTTATCAGGAAACACTCAGCTAACTGCACCTGAATTGCAACAGTGGCAGAAAATGTAAGGGATAGAGAGATTGGTTCATTCAATAAATTTCAGCTTGTCCATATATTGTGTCAGAAATCAGTTCTGATATGATTTAATAACTGGGGGAGGAATACACTGCTCCATTAGTTCAAAGACCATTAGCAGTAAGGGGTAGCTGGTGGCTTCCCCATAGGGCATGCAAGCGTTGCTCATATTCTGACTGCTATAAACTGTATGAGGGAGGATGGTGGCTCAGGTAGTGAGTGGTGTGCCAGGGAGCAGGAAAAAAAAAAAAAAAGAAAGAATAAATCTGCATGAGGGGATGGATCTTCCCCTCCTTTTACCAAGAAGTACATGAAGCATGTACCTGGTAGCGATGTCAATTGAGCTCAAAGCTTCAAAATACCTATGGTGCAGCAAAGCAAACTTGCTACAAGATGAGTGCACAAGGAAGTAATAGAGGCGTGGAGAGAATGGTAGCTTCTTAAGGTCATTGGGGATTGTGAAATGAAAGGACAAGGCAATTCTACTATGTGGTCTAAGTGAACTGTTTAGATTCTCAAAAAAACATTTGGCTGCCACCTGGCCCTGAGAATGCTGACTCTAATGTTGTCAAAAGCACCAAAAGAGCTGCTTGGCATTGAGATTGACGACTGGTTCCAGGCCTTGCTTGTATCTAAGCCCACCCAGACTCACAGATTAAGTCTTCATGTGACCTCTCACTGGACTAACACCAGTAAGCTTTCTCAGAACTCAAATTCGAAGTGGGACCTAAAGCCTGGACTACTGGATTAAAAGGGAGTGAGTTCATGCTTTTTCTAGAAAGTGTTTGAAAAGACTGCAGCCCTCCTTCATTTCTGAAAAATGGGATTCCAAGCCCAAGCTTCATACTCAAGGCTGTTAGTTTTAAATGGAAGATACTGAAGTCAAGGTCTGGGAAGACATCTTCCTAAAAGTCAGAAGACAGTCTTCTCTGAATTCCCTATGGGCAAGCTCAGTTGGCTCCTTTTTCAGGATGCTGGTTGTAAGCACACATTTTTTTGTTGCTTATCTCTCTCCAAGCACCTATGAGCAGACACTGTAGCAAATATCAGAACGCAAGATTTCTGCGAGGCCAGGTCTGTCCTGCTGAGTGCTTCCATGCTCACTCACCTTTCCAGGACAAACAGAGGCAGCTTTACTCCTTTGAGCTGTGACTTTAGCTCTTAACATTGGTAGTGCAGTAGAAAGCAAGTGACCTGGTTATAAATGACAGTCAGAATTGCTCTGCATGCATGCACATGGTTTCTACCACCAGATAAACAGAGATAAACATGTGGTAGCTATTTTAATTAATCACACCCTAGGGGCTTTGCCTATTGGTTTCTAAGATGAGAAGTGCACAAGATGCAGTGCTGTGAAGAAATTCCATCAAATGAACCCTTACCAAAAACATGTCTGAGAAAAACTGCAATTTCCTTATTAGAATCACATGTCAGCACCTTGCCAGCTACACTTTTGAATGCTCTTCAGCAGTTTTTTTTGCACTTGCCCACAAACATTGCACATAAACCCATCGACAGGGTGACTCACATCATTATTCTGTGTCAAACCTCTTTCTGCAAAAAGGCTGTGGTGGAGTCATTTGATGCTGTGTTTGCTTATGCCCTGAAGGCCTCCAGGCAATCCCCAAATCAGCTGGGTTCATGTTACCAGGGATAAGTGAGCCGGCACTCGGACTGCGTGCCTGCACGATTGTGACTTCTTTTCAGTCATAAAGTGATTTCCCAATTTATGAGGAAATTATACATTGCTCACCAAATTTAGGAAGCAGATCATATTGCAGTCAATATTTTACAGGTGCTCTGTGGCCAATTTTGGTTGTGACTAATGCAGAGGTTTCCTTTTGCTTTGGTTCATCCTAGCTGGGATATTCGTAGTAAGCAGCGGTTGTATTTGTTTGGCAGCTAACCTTGTTAGAAATGGGAGTAAATACTTATTTTTTCCAGGACAGGTTATTGCCGAGGAGAGAAATACCACTTTCCTCCTTTTCTCCTCCTTATGCTTTGCAGCCTTAAAGCTTGGATTTCTGCCTTGTGCAGAGAAGTTCCTCAAAGAGGTAAGAAAGTGGAAAATACTAAGAGGTTCAAAGAAGAAACAGTTTCTGGACAGCACATCCAGAGATGTTCTGTTTCAAAACATTGAGGCTGGTCTTATTGACAAAACTCTGGGGGACTTTGAAATTTGAAGAACACTTCTGGACTCATAAATTGGAGCTCAGCAGGTGGCTGTGATTTCATAAAGTTAAAAGTCTTCTTTGGAAAAGCTTTTTTTTTTTTTTTTTTGCAGTTCCTGTTTGGGTTTGAGGTAGAATATGGTCTGATACGAGAACCTATTTATATCTACTCAGAGCTAGAATAAATTGCATAACTCATTTCTTTTGCCTGGTGTTCATGCCAGCATCCACAGTGGTCATCAGCCTGTGTGTTTTTATGCAGTTTTATTTGTGCATTCCAGCCATCTTGTATGGATATTAGGCTGCCATGTGAGCTCTTAAGGCCTTTCAGAGAAAAGGAAGAACATCACAGGCATGGAGTAGGTGCTCACCTTCAAGCTGGGAACCCACTCAGCACTGGAGTGGCTCAGGACATGAGAATGCTGGAAGAGGGTAAAATTCATATCAATAAAGGCTCTGCTGGAATAGCTACCACCTGCTTGAAACCCCTGTCAGTGTTCTGGAGCCACTTCAGGTTACTGCCTATAATGTCAGAAAAGGCATCACAGTAAAAACAGTTAAATCCTCCATCAGATTAGGTTTCTATACATTTCCCTTGGTGACATTGAGAGAATTTGAAGAGAAACCTGATAGACCTGGTATACTGGCACAAGATACGGCTGTAATCTTTCCAGTGCTTCCAAAGTAAGCCTTATCTTTGAAAATGAATTACTGTGTATGTCTGTGACTCAGGGGTGGCTCTGCAAGCACCCTGAGTCCTGCGCAGAATGAAAAAGCCACCTTGTCTCCCTTTTCCCATTACGGAGATTTACTTCTATTGTGAAGCCAGAACCCTGCAACCTATGTAGGAACAGAAGTCCAAATTACTGAAGTTATTTTGATAATGGTATTGTGTCTCGGGCAGACTTTGAGGATGCCTGTATCAGGTATGTAAGGTTTCCAGAGAATTTTTGGATTACTAGATATTTTCTAAAGCCTTAAGTCCATTTTCCTTTTGCTCTTTGATGCCACCAGAATAGGAAATCAGTATTTCCCCCAAAACATATCTGTTTTATAAGCATGGATACAGTTCCTCTGTGTCCTCGTGTCCATTTATAACCACATTTTACATCCTGCATTTTCCTGTTTCTTTATTTCGTTATTTTATTTATTTATTTATTTTTTAAGGGGTGGAAACCATCAATGGAGCAGAAGGAAGCTTTGCTGTGCCAGCTAACCAACTAGGCTGGTGTAGCATAAGGTGCAGGAAAGAAGTGGATGTGGCTTGTTGTGACTGATTAAAAGGGGCAAGGAAGGAGCATGGGGAACAATGAGTGCATGCTGTGTGGAGTGTGCATAGTCCTGAAAAGTGAGAGAGTGAAATGCTGCTGAAATATTGATAGGGCGGATAGGCTCTGGAATGATTGACGGCATGTGCGTGTGTCTTGGCAAGTTTAATTGGATTTGTTGGCGTAGAGGGTAGAAGAATGTGGTGCATTTCCTTTTATGGGTTTCTTTCTTTCAATCTCTTCTTTTCTTTCCTATAGAATTGACGTTTAATGCATATCCTTTTCATCGTCCGCATAGAAATCCTGGTGTCTGTTCCTCTCAATTTTAAGGTTGAGGGAGCGGCGTAGAGGGGATGAAAAGAGATGTAAAACAAGTTTCATTACATTTTATTTACTACTTGTCTTCACTTTCACTAGGTGTGAGTATTCACTGAAGAGTTATAATTTGGAGGGGAAAAAGAGGACACATAATGGAATAGTGTCTAAATGAATCCCAGTGTTATGATGCCAATCATATCAGGAAATCTGCCTCGAGGACTTGTTATCTGTGTGCTCTACTTGAGCATTCCTGTGCTTCTCTTTTTGGCTTATCCTCAGTAGCCAGATTATTTTTATCTTGCCATACAATTTGGACCTAGGACATCAGGCACAAAGGTGTTAGATTATACCAAAGTGGTGAAATCCAGATCCTCCAAAATACTGACAAGCCCAATGCCTGTTAACTTTCCTAGCTTCCATTGAAACTAATGGATTTCTGTGTGCAGCCTCCTGAGTTGCTCTGATGTTCTAAGCCTAAATTCTCAACAAGTTGTCAGCCATGGTGTTCCTGGGCTTTCTCCTCCAAGGCTAGGTATTTCAGAGTTGCACTCTCCTTTCTACCTTTTTTGTGTGTGTGTGTGCGTCCTGTGCTTTTAAGCAGAAACATAGAACCATCTCTTCTCTCCCCAGGTCTTATTTCTGCTCTATCTTGTGTAAATCAGTAGTTCTTCTAGTAAGCAGAAAGCCGCTCTGGATTTCTGATTCCTGCAAAAAGCTTTTTGTTTTGCTTCATTTTTAATAAAATTACTTTCCTCAGTTGTTTGTGTGCTACATTGGACTTACTGTTGGTGAAAAGTCCCAGCATGGGAGCTATGTGGATAGCATCTGTAAAAGTTTTTCTGGCTCTGCTGGTTTTTCATGGTGGAGCCCTGACCAGGAGGAACACACGTCAAGTACAGGGAAGGTAGTTTGGTGCCCCAGTTCTTAGACTTTCACTGTTACACAGATTAAAAAACAATCTAGTTATTTCACACAGCAATGTGTATCTGGAGTGGACATTGTGTTTGCTGTCGCAGATGAACTTCTTTAGATCCATCTTCAAAACAGACAAGTTTGTCTCCAGTTACAAGGTGCTCACTCCTCTGACCTTTGATTTCTGTTCAGGTCTTACAGGTCCAAGAGCTGATCGCAAAGATGACAGCTTCAAAGATGTCTCAGAGAGAACCCCAAACTCTATTCTTGGGCTGAGTGGGAGATATGTCTGTCTTCTGAGGAGGTGAGTGAAAAAACAGAGAATTTAGAAGGTTTTTTTTTATGCAGGGAAGATTGAGAACTGCTGATTGAGGACACTGTTACATCAAAGGGTAGAAATTTTCACTTGCTCCTGCTCTGAGTTCAGCTTCAATCACTAGCAGTGGTAATCCCTTTTCAAATTTGTAAGCTTTCCAGGTCCTCAGGCACATATATTTGAGCCATTGGTGTCCCGCCTCTTCCTTTCTTTTTGCTTTACACTGCCCCACAATCAAACTTAATTCTGTGAAAAGTGGTGAGTAGGAAAGTATGGGGAGGGAGAACTTAATGACATGTTCAGTCATCTCTGAAGAGATGAAGCCAAACATGTCTCCAGTAGCAGAATATTTTGGGAGCAGTTTGTTTTCAAATAAGAAGCTTAATGTAATAATGTCATTACACTTCTCTAAATTCAAGGATGTGCTTTCACTGAAACACAATGGAATCTAAGCTATCAGTCAGATACCTCATTTTCACTGAAGTAACAGCCAGTTTCACTGGCAGAAGTATTTCTGAATGGTCTTCGCTTACCTAAGGCTGCTTTTGGCTTGAGATAAATGTATCTTCTTGAGACTGACTGATTATAAGACTTATTGGGGGAAAAAAGGCAGAGTATAGGAGAACACAGATTGTCTGGTTATTAGTTCTATTTGTTTTGTTTTTATATTATTATTATTTTATTATTATTTATATGTGCACTAAATCCAGTATTTCAGAAAACACTGATGCAAGAAATCAAGGGTCACTTTTCTGCTGTGGATGTTGTACCTCCTTTCTTATAAAAAGCCCGAATTTCAGGAAAAAAGCAACGGAGATAGGATTAATGAAGAATCAACTGATGCCTTCATTACTCTGCTAATGAACCACCTTCCATCTACTACTTGCTGTGAATCTGCTCCCATTGCCCCAGATCTTAACTCTATGGTCAGTTCTCTTTAATCTTAGCACCCTCTGCTGTGGACATCTATAATAACATCTCATTTAATTATTACTGGCGTATAAATTGTGTATCCCTTTTTGACCAAAGATCTACAAATCAAACACAGCTTGTGTCAATGGAGCTGTATCTGATATGAAAAATGTGTTCTATTCCTTGACTTGCTGTGGAAGATAGCTTTTTTTCCAAGTGTTTGCTAAAGAAGAAACATACAGAATACAGGCAAGGAGATCTTAAAATACTCTGTATAAGAGAGAGGCCTCAACTGACACCTAGTCTTTGCAGAAGAGGGCTGTAGGCATGCAAATGTTTATAGAGTCCAGAGATCACCTCAGGTTGCACAGGCTAATTTAAAAAAAAAAAAAAAAAGTTGATATTTGCTACGTCCTGTTCCTGTGGAACATGCACTGATTGTATCACTTCTGTCTCTGGTGTCAGATTTTCTATGTGAACATGGGCATGTAGCTTAAAATTGGTTAATTGGTTTTGTTAGCTCTCCTGATCCAGAGATTCTCTCTTGCAAGCATTGTCCATGAATAGTTCTTCAGGTCAAGTCCTCACTTGAGTCAGCAGTATTTCAATAAAATTTTATATATATATATATATATATTTAATATGCCAGTTTGAAAATATCAAAATAGGAAGTGATGAGTTAGTATATGCATTTGCCTAATTTATAAAGAGGATTTTGCAGAGATTATGCTTTAAAATCAAACTTCGTTATTGCATCTTTCCAGTAACTGGTTCTGTTTTTCACAGAATCACAGAATTTCTAGGTTGGAAGAGACCTCAAGATCATCGAGTCCAACCTCTAACCTAACACTAACAGTCCCCACTAAACCATATCCCTAAGCTCTACATCTAAACGTCTTTTGAAGACTTCCAGGGATGGTGACTCCACCACCTCCCTGGGCAGCCCGTTCCAGTGCCTCACAACCCTTTCAGTAAAGAAATTCTTCCTAACATCTAACCTAAAACTCCCCTGGCATAACTTTAGCCCATTCCCCCTCGTCCTGTCACCAGGCACATGGGAGAACAGGCCAACCCCCACCTCTCTACAGCCTCCTTTAATGTACTTATACAGAGCAATAAGGTCACCCCTGAGCCTCCTCTTCTCCAGGCTGAACAAGCCCAGCTCCTTCAGCCGCTCCTCATAGGACTTGCTCTCCAGGCCCCTCACCAGCTTCGTCGCCCTTCTTTGGACCCGCTCAAGCACCTCGATGTCCTTCTTGTAGCGAGGGGCCCAAAACTGAACACAGTACTCGAGGTGCGGCCTCACCAGAGCCGAGTACAGGGGGACGATCACCTCCCTAGCCCTGCTGGTCACAGTGTTTCTGATACAAGCCAGGATGCCGTTGGCCTTCTTGGCCACCTGAGCACACTGCTGGCTCATATTCAGCCGACTGTCCACCATCACTCCCAGGTCCTTCTCTGCCTGGCAGCTCTCCAACCATTCCTCTCCCAGCCTGTAGCTCTGCTTGGGGTTATTGTGCCCCAGGTGCAGGACCTGGCACTTGGCCTTGTTGAACCTCATGCAGTTGACTCTCTTTACTGAAAGGGTTTACTGAAAGGGTTGGAAGAACTTCTTTACTGAAAGGGTTGTTGATTTTTGAATCTCTCTGAGACAGAAGAGGAGTAGATATGCATTTCAGCAGAGATACAGCCTGTAAAATGAAGGAAAAAAACATTCCTCCTAGGTGAGCTATAGTAACTTCTTCCACATCTGTTTACAGACAGAAAAAAATCTCCTTTTCCTTATTAATGAAGGTTCTTGCCCTCATCCCTCAGATGAGAACTCAGTTACAAGTGATCCTTTCCTCTCTAAGAAGCCTTCTTCTTCCATTTAGACCCTTTCTCCAATGCCTGTCAGACTTGAAGTCTAACAAGATGGCTGTACCTCCAGAGATGCTTTTGAGAATAGCAATAATTTCAGATACCCCACATAGGCAGTTTGTGCTTCCAGTGTCTTCCTTTAAATGCTTAAGTAATTGTTACAACCCCCACACACACCATGTTTTCTATTTTGTCTTTTAGAAAGCAGAATGTGTAATAGCAATAACCATATGAATCAGTCATTTCCCTTCTCACTCCTCCAACTCCATCTGCTGATCACTCATATGAGAGCTCTAACAGCAGAGCTGCTTCTGAGGGTTGTTGAAGACATGGAGCAGTGAAAGCCTTCTTGTCAAGCATCCAAGAGCAAATAGCATCAGAGATGAGATTTTGAATACATTAGTAATAATACTGTATTGATCTCAAAACACTTTACAAACATTAACTAATTAAGCTTTAAAACACTGAAATAAGTTTGCATTAATAAAGACCATTTAGCAAATGAAGAAGTGGAGGTAAACAAAGGGTATGTGAAGTGACCAGTATCAAGTGGTGAATGAAGGTCAAAGAAAGAAACCTGGTATCTAATTGTTCTGCATTTCACATGATCTCATTGAGAAAACTTTTGCAGTGAAAGTTGCAGCCATTTCAAATTAAATATTCTAAGGCATTTTGTAACAAGCCTGAGTATTTCTTACAAGAATCAAGATGGTACAAAAGCTTACAAAACTAATAAATGCTTTCAGCTCTCAGGTCCAGCTTTGACTGAGAAGGGACCATTTCTGAAAGCAGAGGGGGAAGCAGTGGCCTTGTACTGAGCCTTTTTCTCATTGCTTTTCTCTGGTGGTACTAGCTGGATAGAAAACTGCTTTGACCTGCAAAATGGGAATTCACGTGGGCTTGACTCTGATGTCATGCATCTATCCCACCCATCCTATGGGAGGAATAAAGCCTTCTCAAGGGATTGGTCTGCTCCAGTCATCCCAGCCAGTCTATGGAGCCTGGGGGGCTGTTATAGAGTGGAACGGCTTAGAGTCAGTGGAGCTACCCTGGCTTAAAATCAATGTAACAAGGTGGAGAATCAGGCACACAGTGAGTGAATCATGCAGAGCAGTGTTGACCCAAACAGAGGATGACGGCTTAGAACAGGTTCCTCAGAGACATTAAGTTATCCTTGGAAAGGCAGGTCTCAAAGCCAAGGTTTATACTTTCTTAATGGGTTTCATTAGGAAGAAAGGAAAGGAACTGGAAAAAAATGTGTAGCTTAAAAGGGAACGACTGCAGTGCAGTCAAAAATTTGTTCCATTTTTCAATAAAAGAAGCCAATCCTGCCTTGAAATTCATGTCCCTTCAAAGTTCAAGGAGGCCTGTATTGTTGGCCTGCTCAGTCAGAATGCTCCAGCCACTTATTGTATGTGGATTGCACTCCAGGGACTGACTGCAAAAATATGATTTAGTGAAAGCTTGTACCCAAAACACATCATTGGCCTCTGATCTCTGAACATTTAAATATTTCAAGCTTACAAGCGGACGCTGTCACGAGGACAGACCCTGATCCCTAGCTGATTCTAGAACATCTGTTGAGGCATTTACCAAGTTAATAGATTAGCTATGAGAATCAGGCAGGTGTTTTTCACCAAAGCCAGAAAACATCAAAATCAGATTGCCCTCCAAGTCTTTCAGCACAGGCAATCGAGTTAGAATGACTCATAGAGTCTAACAGATAATAAAACACACATAACATTTGCTTTAAGGTACAGGTGGGGATATTTTGTACTGTGCTTAGGAGAAAGAAAAACTAACTCTATTTGGGAATAGAGTAATTGAATACAGATGGGAGGAGGCAAATGAAAGAATTTAGCAAATATCTCAGTGGAATAGCTAATGGGAACGAGACAGAATAGGAAATTAAAAATTATTCGAAGCAGATGGACCATTCTTTGAGTTTTTTAAAATTTATTAGGGCTGCGAAAAAAATGTGTCTGTTTATTTTCCACGGCCATGAAATTAATGACTTGGTGAGTTGTGCTTGTGCAATTTTATGACTGCCATGTCATTTGTCATAATTTGGGTGCTGTTTGATATGGATTTATGAATATTTCCTCCCCCCCAACATGATTTATGGGTGTTGGTCATATGTGAATTAGACTGTCACCTTTAGTATGAAAAAGTACAAATGACAGATTATAAAAAAAAAAAAAAAGTGCTCCAGTCCTAAGTGCTGGAAAGGGGAGTTCAGAGTCGCCTCCTCTGCTTTTTCACTGGTAGTTTTTGTTTAGAGCTGACAATTAAATGTTTGGACTTGAGTCAAACATGGATGAATATTGAGAGGGGCTTGAATAGATCTGAACTCGTCTGAACTTCACCTGTGAATTCAGCTTGAGTCCTCCTTTCCTTGTACCATGCACTGAAAAAAAAATAATTATATATATATATAACTTACCATAGGAACAACTGATTTACTGTATAGGAGCAAATTGGCCTGGCAAATTTGCTATCTTGCTTCCAGGCTAACTCTGGTTGAAGCTTCGCTGAAAAGTGCAAGTAATCTCACACAATCTGTCCAGTTTTGTAGCACTGCATGCTTGAAGGAGTGAAGTTAAAAGACATACCAAACCACCAGGATTTCTGCAATAATATCTCAGGTTTAGACCAAAGTACCAACTTTATGCTAGCTGTTACCACTTCTGCCAAAACTATTAGTATATGCCATTTGTTTTGTAGCATGTAGCTACAGTACAAACCAGTTTAGGACAGGAGAAGCACAGTTGCTCCTGGATTGAAGCAGTATGAGTTCAAGCATATAACTGAGGAATGTAAGTATCTGATCACCCGATGGTCCCCTGTCGATGTCGGGAAAGTGATGTGCACCTCCAGAGGGCCGTTCAGCCCACGTGTCTCCATCTGTTGACTGTGTAGACAGACTTAAAACAGTACCCCCTTCCTTAGCTCCCCAGTTTGGTGTAGAAAGTCATGTGGGAGGAATTAGCGCCCAGCATGGGATATAGCTTTAAAAAGAAGAAACAATACACCTTGCATGACAACAAAACATTGCTGATCGTCTTTCATGCTGAGCTAGCAACTGTTGCCTTCACAGGGGATATGACTAGTTCATTCTACAGTTTTTAGACAATCATATGCTGTAGCCCATTTTCTGTGATCCAGACAAGATTGTTTCTCTAGTGGGAGGCTGATAGTTCTTAGCAAGTATCTCTGCCCTTGTAGGGAATGAATGGATTACTTTGCAATCACAGTGAGATACCAAGGCAGTCTTTGCAGTTCTGGATAGCACCTATTACTGCTGAGGGTAATTGATCTTTTCTGTAGATGATCAAGCAAGAACCTGCATTAGCAAACCACTGTCATGTCTGCTGTTGTGAGGGCAGCTAAAACACTTTGCTGTGGTGATTTTCAGCTTTACAGAATTGAAATTTGCAAAAATAAACCAGGATCACCTGTACTTAATTCAAGAATGAGGTCCAGTGACCTTAGCTGAAACATCAGGAAACCTTCACAGCTATTGGAGAAAGTTCATCAGCTGCGGTACGTTGATATATCTCAAATATGTCATTGCTTGAGGCAATGAAACTTGTTTCTTATAATTTTGGTAGCACATCAATAAATCAATTCCTAGGCTCATAAATTACTTTTGTTATGCAAAAGTAGCTGGTTGTCTGGCAGTTCTAAAAATAATATGTATATATTACTGTAATTTTGAGTTGATCTGTGGTGATTTTTTTCAGAATTCTGAAAACTGACCAAATTTATTTCAGTCAAAAATCTTTAAATGAAAATGAAATGCTGTTCTTGTGATTTACTTGATTTTTTATTTTTTTTACTCGAAAAATATTTCCAAACAAGCTCCTTTAGATTTCTTTAGAAATCTCTTTTTAAAAATACCAAACATCATTTCAGTCCTTTTTCAAAGATTTTAGATTTTGTTTTCTCTAGGGAAATGAGTAAGTGAAAATAAAGCAAATTTATAGTACCTTTAGTTTCACCAAATCTGTATTTATCCCTGTAATTTTTTTTGGTCAAAATATTGAGCCTGCATTAGTTCCTAGTTCCTTTTTTACTTTTACTTTTACTTTTCACTTCCTGAATGGATTGACTTGCAAGTTTTAGATTATGCTTTGCCATTTTTTGAAATTGGTGAATTAAATATGTAATCCTTTTCAATAAAAACAATTATACTCAGTTTAGGGGTGGAGAAAGGGGAGACTATCTGCTGTTGGATAAGAGTAGTGTTCTCATTGAGCTTAGATCAAAGCTGTTTTGACTGTATCTGGCATTTAAAAGGCCAACCTGCTCGTACCCTGTTACCATAAAGAAATTTGCCAGGAAGGCAGGTGTCTAACTATACAGGCAATCAGATTACAGAGCAAAGTAATCATGATTTCCGATTGTGAGCATAGCTTGCCACATTAGCACATGTACTTTGGAAGAGAGGGAGAAGTAATCAGAGAAAGATAAAGACAAGGGTGGAGATCATTTGAGACAGTCCTGTTCCAACAAGCTAGTAAATTTTATGTGGATTTTATTAAAGGATTTCATTTCCTTTACATAAAAAAGGTCAAAGCTATCTGAAAATGAGAAAATCCTTGAGTTTGCTTTCATTTGTTTTTAAGAGTTACTGAAACGTAGCAATGTGTTTCTTGGGAGGCACCATTTGCACATAGATGTCTGTAACCGAGCAAGTCACAGCTGCAGAGTTTCTTTAAGGCATGCATGCTTGGCTTTGACATGCTCAGATTTATGGTGAGATTTAAGTTCTTGTACCAATGGTGATGTTTCCTGAATGGTTTTCATCCAGATGGTCTTCGAGAGGATAAGTTTAACAAGATTTATTCGCTGAGAAGGGGCAATGTGAATTAAAATTACAAGGGGTACTGTATATATACTATTTCTTTCCCACTCACTGCCTCATGAAATGTACAAAATCTTCTCTCTCCATTCCCCCAATAGAAGTTAAATGGAGTTGCTTCTTTCAGAGTATAGTTCCCCTTTGACCAGATTAGAGCTTTGGCAAACAAGTGTGATGGATTATTGCTGGGGTGGGAGAAGGGGTTGCCACCATAAACACCTATCCTGCCACTTTACCAGGGGCTTTCACCCTACGAGCAGAGGCAGCATATGCAAGCAAGTGCCAGTTTATCAGCTGTCATAGTTTGCAGGCCATTGGCAGTTAAAAATACTGGCTGTGAGCTGTATAGATGAGGGCTGGACCACGTTGCTTTCTAATGGCTCTGTTTCAGCTTCTGGAGAGGGACTGCTGCAGACAGATGGGAGAGGTAACCTCTTAAACCATTACCACTAAATCCAGCATGACCTTTCTGATTCAGCTCCAAGTCGTCAGTCTTTGAGAGATGTTAGGACTAACAGCAATGTTTGGGGTTCTGAGGCCGTATCTTCAATGGCTTGTAGGCACAGTTAAAGTCAGCAGAGTACCGGTGATTTATGCAAGCTGAGTATTTAAGCACAGTAATTCGCGTTGTGACTGCTGAACCTAGATTTCCTGGAAAATATGAGTTATTTTTCATATGAAGGAACTGATTTTTATGTTACGTTGTAGGTTTCTATAAGGATGTTGACACAGTGAAACAATTAGGCTCTTGCCTAATTGCTAAAGTGAGTGTCTTTGTCAAAGAAAACTAAAAGGTATCACTTCCATGCTTAAAGTTACATGCTTTGTACATGTTTGGTGGACAGAGTCAGAAGATTTGTCATTTTCTGGGGTGGTCTTTTAAAAAGTATGATTAATTAAATCACTATGTGCAATTTCTGTTATTATTTGCTTATTCAAGAGCTTAAAAAATAAGATGGTTGGCACTAGAAGATCAAAGCCTTTTATCCATTTGTTTTGTATCTCACTTGCAGGCTAGTTTTGTTTGTTTGTTTTCCTCCCATATCAAGTGTATCTCAACTATTAATAATTTGGCTTCTTTAACAGGACCATCACATTTTAGTTTGAACATCTTTGAATCAGGCTAAAACTCCAGTGACAGAAGGAAAAAGCCTGTCCTAGAAGAGCATATATTGAAAGATTGCACTGCCACCAGCATGTTGCTTTTAGAAGTCTGGGCATGTTAAAGGTATTTATTTATTTATTTATTTATTTTTACTTTGCTACCTTCTGTTATTTGGAGAAATATCTTTCATGCGTTGCCTGCTGACAATTGAACTTTAACAGACAAGATTTTCACAATCAATGACTGGTTTGAGATCTTTCTGTTTCTGAGTTGTTAACCTGTGATATTTTTGTTTTCACGAGGTAGCTATTCAGCATTTCATAAAATCATCTGCACTTTACACTACTGCAGTTTAATCAGCCTCAAGTGTAGGTACTGAAAATCACCAATTACTTTTGAAAACTTGGGCCAGATGATCAACACCTTTTTACAAGAATGAAAAATAGCAAGTGAAAAGACTTTGTGATTGTTCTTTATGGCAAAGAATGGACAGTCTGAATAAATTGTAGAAGGGTTAATCATTGTAATGAAATAGACCTCATTGTGTTGTTGCAAGTTAAAAATATGCCTCTTGCCGCTGGGCTTGCATTAATATTGTTTGAGAGGAGTAGCATCAATGTACTGTAATAGACTTTTATTAATAGGCTAGCACAGTCATCAGTCTCTGGGTTGGTGTGATGGCTGAATACAGTGAACACGAGCATCTTGACAAGCCAGTAACAAAATCTATCTATCATTTTCAGTATGAAGATGCTGTGATAATTATGTTTACAGTGGTAATAAAATATGGATAAATAAAGTGTTGAAACCCATGGAAATTTCAGGGTCCACAGTGAATACCCTATGAAATATAAAAGAGCATCACCATAAATTCACCTAGCTGTATAGATTGAAATCATTATTCTCTTGACCCATCTTGCTATTTTTAGAATAAATTTCGTGTATTTTTTATTCAGCATTGTTCAGTGATAAAACCACTTCAAGGCTAAAGACCTAGGTTGCATTCCTTGCTTGCTCTAGACGTGCAAGGATGTTTGGTGCCCTTCCTGTTGATAGTGCTGATGACTTCAGAACAGCAGTACAGTGGCATATTATAATTCTGATGTTAACAGTACCAGTCACTTTTTCATTCTAGTATCAGCCATATAAAGAATGGGGCATGTTCTGCTCCCTTTCATGCTTCTCTGTGTGGGCGGTTGACTCCATTTATTTCAGTAGAATTACTCTAAGTTTATGGTAGAAGGAAAAACAAACTTCCTGGTCTAGTGGCTTGTGGTGTCAATGAGTCAAAGTCTCCTTGCCTGAGAAATGATTTGTCATGTGATTGCTGGGAAGAAAAAGGCCCTGACTTTTTCTGCCCTATAGTCATGCCCCTGGCAGGACAAAGAAGCCTTATGTAGTTGAGAATATATTGCATTTACATTGTTTCACTTTCTTTACAATGGCAGGTTAATCTACACTTTAGCATAAGGAAGAATGTGATCCATTCTAGGTCACCATTCAACCCGACACTAAACAGCATCTGATTTTTTTTTTTTAATTACTTTTTTTTTTAACTGCCTAAGAAAGGTGCTAGTTTGATAGTCTGTAATACTGATGTCTTTGTGCTCATCCATGGCACAGCCCTGCTCATGCAGCAGCAGAGAAGGCGCCTTCTGCCAATGTGCCTCCACCCTGGCCTGTAGTGGAGGAGAGGTAACTCTGCTTCCCATGCTTCATTTAATTCTTGGCTCTGTCTGCTGAGAATGGCAATGGAGTTGCCAGTTGTGGCATGCACATTTATTGCTGGGATGTGAGCCAGAACCACCAATCCATTTTGCATAGACGCTGAACAGCAATGGTAAATACTTCTTGTTCATTACTATCCCAAGCCGGATTTGAACTGAAGGTTTGGAGGTGAAAGACTCTGTCTCCCATTCCTTAATCCCCTTAACATTTCAGTCTGCCTTATAAAACTTTTTAGAAACAAATCTAAACCTTGTGTATAAAATGAAATCCAGGAGAGAAAAGAAAATCCAGGGTGAAGCTTGAGTCTGTTTTCTTCTTCAGCAAGCTTCTTTGCTAGTAGTGACCCTGGAAAATTGTTCTCTGATTATTCTCTTGAGAGATCACTCTAATTTTTTTGCTGCTGTAGATGGCCATATGATCAATTGTCATCAGTCAGTGCTTGATGATGGGTCATTACTTACTAGTGCATACTTGGGGAAAAAAACACATGCGACTTCCATTAGGAGGCAGAGTGCACCTACATCAAATATGAAGAGTACAGTAAGTTCTCATTAATAATGTTTCAAGACTGTCCTCCTAAAGTTCTTAGTACAGAAGCTGCCTTCACAGTGGAAGAATTGAAACTAAGACAGATTTGCAGCTTACAGTCAGGAAAATGATTTTCCCCATAAGTAAAAACTGCATTTTTACATGAGTATTTCAGTAACAGAAATTGTATTCAGAAATGTAGAGATCATTCTCTTCTGTTCTTCGCTTCATCGCCCCCTAACTTCAGAGAGTTTTTGCATTTTAATTAATTTATTTAATTAAATGAAGTTATAGCAAGTGTAAATGTTCCCTTCTTGTTCCATTTCGAAGTTAACAGTTAATGTATGACACCATGGAAAATGCTACCTTCTTATGGGTACAGTATTGGTCAGGAAATCTGATTGTCTTCAAGAATGTAGAGAATTATTTTAGTAATTTAAAAAAAAATATCGTATTTTTAATCATCATAGCAGCAATTCAAATCAAACAGACCTTCAACTGAATAAACAACTGAGAATTAAACAATGTAAAGCAAGCACAGTCCTGCTATGCAAGTCCTTTAGAAGGAATTCTGCAAGGACAGCCTCTTTCCTATAAAGGTCAAGATCATTTCTGTCTAAATTATATGGGTTTTCTTTTGGGCTCTCAAAGTGAAATCTGGTAGACTAAGAGGAATAAAATCAGAAAGAGGTGAAATTGGAAGATGTAGGATTTTTTTGGTCCCTGTATATGGAAGGCATTGGAATATGTAGAGATAGGATTGGATGAAATTCTGTACAACCTAGTCGCATCGCTGTGTGTTCCATCTGGAGCATACTGCTGTAAATAAATATATCCATTTGTATGTCTAAAAACTGAGATGCTCTGTGAGTAGGATTGGTTTCCATGCTTCCTCTCCACTCTCCTCCCCTAAGTCTGTGTGTGGAAGACCTCTTAAGAAAAAGCCTGAGGGGAAGCAAGGAAAAAGGCATGTTCATCTTATCACCTAGTGCTGGTTGATCACTTCTGCATAAGCTCCCACTAGGGGCATTGGTGTTAAATCACAAGTTCTTACGCAACAAGTAACTGACTGTGACTTTTCTTTTTTTATTTTATTTATTTATTTATTTAATTTATTTAATGTGACACTCCATGTAAAAATGTACAGATTACTGACTACATTTAAAATGGCTATCAGACCACTTATTTTTAGTCACTACAAAGTCAGCGTTGAAGTTCTTTAGACATAGTAGGGAGCTCATCCCTCATGTTGTCTGCATTTGTGCAGGCAGGACCAAGCTACAGTGTAGAGAGAAGCCTGCTATTCACAAGCTTTAAACTAGCTAGCTTGGTTGACGTAAGTTGTTAAGCTGTGACAGCGAGTCCTCACCCAAGATCCTTCTGAAGGCTGTACTGCTCTTAGTATTTGAGTTGGTTCATTTAGGCTGCTCAGGGTATGTTTCCACCTCTGGATTACAGTGGAAGTTACTGCAGTGAATCACAACTGCAAACAGTTTGCTGAAGCATTTATCAGCTGAGCTTTGGCCTGCTTCCTGATCACAAATTGGCCCTGGATGGCTATGTGTAATAAGCTATTTAACACTGGAATGTACTTTCTGGACAAGTTTTGGGAAAAGATCTCTTTGGGACAGATGCTGGTCTCTGCACCTTCCAGCTTAAAGCACTATGCTCACTCATGTATTTTTCTTATGTTGTATGGTTTTAGATGGGGAATTTTATAGAGGAAGTTGGAGTCACAATCTAGTTGAAATGCAGGGGAGAGCTCTGTACCTCCTTACCTTATGTTTATTATAGAATTGTAGGTAAAAGCCCTTTGCAAATTGCTCAGTTTGTAGTCATTTAAGGCTAAATAAATGCCAGGGGGAGTTAGCAAGAATTCTCAAGATGGTCAGAGCTGATGTCCGCTGAAAGTCAATAGGATTGAGGCTCTTTTTTTGTCCCCTCCAGTCACTACATTGATTCTTTGGACACTGGCATGTATCTGTAAATCTCATTCCCTGGTATTCATGGTGTGCTTCTACTACAAATTAACATCACCACCCCATTGCCTAGTTCCAACTAAAGCAAAACTGAGGTGTTACCAATGTGTAGCCCTCTCTGGCACCATCTAGTGACTCCAGAACTGGGCTTCCAACCACTGCTCCGTTCCCATTGGAAAACAAGATGTGTTTTCCTTTGGCAATAGCTTAAAATGCAGTTCAGTGCAGATGTTGCTCTCATGAAATTAACTCACCTTAGAGCAACGGTTGCAAAGTCTTTTGGGAGAAAGCTTTGTAGTATGGCTCTTGTACTAACAGTTTAGATTCGTAATTCAAGGTGCAAAACTGCCAAAGCACATAAAAAATAATGTGAAGATCTTGTTATAGATATTTTGTTACAGTAAGAATCAAGCATGAGTATGTGTGTGTGTGTCTGTGTCTGTTTTAAGACTGTCAGAGTCTTTGAGCATCTTTTCTAGTCCTAATAAAATAGCTGAGAATGAAATGAGCATACTTAAATTATAGAATGATTCAGGGCATCATGTTGTTAATAATGTAGAGAAATGAGATATAAAAGCTTTTACTCAAGCATACCCTAAAGCAAATTTAAGTAGAGCACACAGCTATGATGCTGATTGTTTTCACAGGTGTTGGCACCATATGAATTAAATGAAGAAAAAAAATGGTGAAACATTTATGACTCATTAGAATTATGTGGTTTTCTATCCTGTCCTAACAACTGAAAAAAGGTGTAATTTACATTTGCAGCCAAATGGCGTGAAGTAACATTATACTTTACCGACATGAAAAGAGGAGACTTCCAGATGACTACTATTCTGAACTTCTCTGGTTCTCAAATCCTGGATTTTCAGTTTTTCATGTGGACTTTTGAGAGCTAAAATTATTGCTCCATTAAAAAAAAAAAAAAAAAAAAAAAAGAATAGGATAACTTTGAATCTATAGAACATGTGGTTTCAAGGAGCTAAGTGTCATTCACTATATATAACACCTTTACAATCAGAATATTTCCCCTTTTCATCAAAGAATACACTTGATAGATTCAAAGAGAGACACATCTGTGTTGGCTTTTTGATAAATAAGTCTGCATCCTCCTTTTCTTCTCTTCTTTTCAGAGTTTAATTTTTTTTTTTTTCTATCAGAATTGTTTTGTTGTAGATTTTAAATATTTACATGAAGGAGGTCTCCTGACAGGCTGATCTATAGCAGGAAAGCAACAAATAAACAAATCCATGTCTACAGTATTTTAGATTCTGGTTTCCTGAGCTGCTAAGTGTTTATTTTCCTATTGTAAAAACCTGCATTGAAATACATTCAAAATGGAGTTCACATGGCAGCTTTCATGCAACATCTAATGTTTTAACAAAGTCATAATATAAGCCTCAGCTTCCCATACACTGCATAGTTGGCTAAGAAAGAAAGCAGCTGATTTATCAGAGCCTCTGTGCTGTAGATGAGTCTTCAGAAAAAGAACATGTCGTACTTTGCAACTGAGACTTTTTTGCAAACACCTAATAAACCAGAAAAAGAAAGTTTTACTGGGCTTCATGAGCACATTTTTCTCCTCTCACCAGAGCACCAAACTCAGTTGGTAATCCTACATTCATTTATTTCATCCTCCCCTGAAATTTCTCATAGCACAAACTCAGTCAATTCTGGCTGGCTAATTTGCATCTCATGGCCTGCAGTATCTCTTTAGGAGGTGAACTATTAAAAATACATTAGCCTGGTGTGGATGGTAATGGGCCAAATGCTGCTGGTTTTGAAGGCAATCTGGGAAGCCTCATGCTCTCTCTGACTTGATAGCTGTGTAAGTAAGTTGTTTGTTTTTGCTGTCCTTGGACTTTAAAAGTTCTAGCAGCAGATGTAGGTGAGGTGATTGTTCTTCTGAAAATCTGGATTGAGAAAATGCACTTCTCTTCCTTTCCAAGCTTGCACTAATCTTTAACGTTACCCTTATTTCTGTTCTGCCAGAACTGTGTCCTATTAGCATCCAAAAATGTTACACATAACTTTGGCTTGCTTACAGAAGATGATCCAACCACTAACATTTGCCTTCTGTAGCTGAACGCTGAAAGAAAAAATAATCCACATTTGAAATGTGAGACTTTGCTGCTGTCAGTTTCTGGAACTGATTATTAGGGCTGTGATTTTTATCTACTCACTTGTACAGTAATTAAAAGCAATTCCCTCATCAGTTATCATCCTGCAAAGCCAGCTTTTAAGCAGTGCTTGATGTACAGTTTATTAACCTAAGCCCACGTTGAAGGAAAGGTGACATAGTTTAAAAAGTAAGAATGAACACATCTGCTCAGAAACAAAGAGCTGAATGCAAAATAGATACTTACTGTTAAACTAGCAAAATGGCTATGTGATTTTAATTGGCAGAGTAGGAGTAATCACCTGGCTTGGGCTGGGTATACACCTTCATTCTGTCCACTCCCATATGTCTTTTTTACATGGATTATTTTCTGTAGATGTATCCTGTCATGATGGAATAGTTGGTTAAAGACTTGAGCAGGAAATCAGGGATTCAATTACTGTGGCTTGCTGAAGAGGAAGCTCTATTCAGCTGCCTGACAACTAGTGCCACACCTTCTAGCAGGTATTGATGAGCACAAATGCCTATCAGTGTCAGTTCTGAAATCAGGATGTTTAATGTTACCTGAATACTGGGCCTCTAGCCACCAATGTTGTAGCTGAAGACATCTTGATCGTGGGAAAGAGGTGTCAAATAATAGGCAATTAAATGTTATGATACTTAGCTGTGATGACTCTTCTGGGTGGGTGCTAGAGACAAAACATTAGGCTGAACGGAGACAAACTTTAAGTGAGCTATGGATATGTTACGTTGGTCATTTCTGGGCTACTGAGAACAGGGTGGAAATGCCCCCGCCAAAGCAAGTGTAGGATGTTCAGTACTTTTTAATGTAATGCATGAACCTGTCACAGTCCTTTAAGGAAATGCTACTGTGAATGTTATCTTGTGAGAATGCTCAAAGTTTAGGAAATACAGGCCTTTAAAGACGAAGATTGAAAGTGGAACACAGGTCTCTGAAGTACAACATGCCTGCAGAGCATCTAAAACACTGATGTGGGGGTGCTTGAGAAAGGGGGATAAAAACAACTCTGGTGCAAATATGCAGAGGGAGGCAAAAAAAATACTGAAATACTGTCTTTGCTCTTTCAGATGGAGCTGCTCAAAGCAGTCCAAAAGAGCAACAGGGTGTGTGACGGGCAGTAAAGTGATTTGCAACCAATAGCCCACAAGAGAGCAAGGAGTAAGTGCCACAGGAGCTTGTGCCCACCCCCAGCCCCACTAGGAAGTGAATGAAGAACTGCATGGATCTTGTTTTAAATGGAACTGAACGGTAATCCCAGGAGATTTAAGTGCTGAGATCATGCAATGGATACATATTTCACACCTGGGGATAGAGACATGCCTGAGATGAGCCAGGAAATCTATCTACAGGCCAGGCATGAATACCCAGTTGAAAGCATACATGGAACACTGAAAGCTGTGTAAAGAATATAGTGATTGACAAGAAACGCCTCATGAAATCCCAGCCCAGCCCTGGAAAAGGTCAGAACAGACTTGTTTCTAATGAAAGAAACTTTATGGCCACGGTAGATTACTAACCCAGTTTCTGGAAGATGCACAGACAAGAACGGTGATCAGAAAATGGAAGGCACAGGTTTCGAGATATGATACTCACTGGGACCAAGTGAGAGGGTCCTGGTACCTCTCATTTAGGATTTTGAATACTTCAGTGCATTTAAAAACTTCTGCATAATAAGATTTATGTCCCTTTAAATACAAAACAGAATAGGAAGATTGTATCTGTCTTAAAGGCAGCCAAACAAAAGGTGGCAATGTTAGAGAGATAAGAAGGAGGGTTGTCCTGTTTGGTTTGAACCTCATAAATGCTAAATATTTCCACGGTTTAGATAGTGACATGTATTCAGAGTTTAAGAAAGTATGTCTTCTGAAGCTTGCAGCAAAAATGATTTATTTTTTTTCTTTACAGCTATTGGGAAACCAAACACAAAGAGCCTAAAACCCAGAAGCTACTGTATGCAGGCAGGTGTATATGAAATTTACCCTGAAGTTACTATGAAAGATAAGAGCACCAAAAAAAGTCATTGGGTACAGGACGTGAGAGGAGTAAAACAAGCAAGAATAGTGAAACCTGAGAGACTACACTGTAACTGGAATCAAAGATAGCAGCAAGTGATCATAGTCAGACTAACGTGCCCAACACAAAAAGGATGTGAAGTCTGTGATCAGCACAGAAGATCAATACAACCGATCCTCTCAAGGGCCCTCAATAATGACCAAAATCAGGGAAGTTAAGCAGTGTGGAAAGAACTTGGTTGCTTCATCGTTGGCATCCAGTGTTGTTTTAGCTATTACAACATAGCCTTTCTGGCATCCATTTGCCACCTCGGTAGAGTGTCAATCTGCTTTAGGTCCTGCGTCATACCTGCTATTCCTGTACAGATGTCTTGGATACCTTAAGGTCTCTCAAATGGCACTGGGCACTGAGCATGAGCAGAGGAATCCTGTCACTTGCCTTATGAAGCATCATGCTCTTGAAGGGCCACAACAGTGTGGTAATGGCTACAGACCAGTGTGGCAGCACTGAGTAAGCTGAAGAAATCTTTAAATGGGTAAGTCTGTGCAATAATTATCTTCAGCTTTGGCTTTTCAAGGCCAGCTGTGGGCCCAGTCCTGCAACTTCTTACTTTGGCCAAGAGTGAATCTCCTGAGGGGAGCTTTAATTCCCAGAGCAGATGGAAGCTGTCAGGTTCACAGTCAGAAGTGATGGAAAGGGATAGTGTGTAACAGCTCCCTCTGGACAAGAGAGACTGGGGGAGACAGGTGGGTCTCTCCAGCCAAAGAGAGGATATCAGAGATAAGGATGCTTTAGAAAGGTGGTTTAACAGGCAGTGAGGTGTCTATGTAAAATACCCAGAGGAGAAAGCAATTAAAAGAACCGTAGTTGATTAAAAAAAAAAAAAAAAGACTTGAAGAAAATAGAGTTAGTCTGAGAATGAGCTTAATCAACAAGGTGCCCTTGAAGTTTATCAGACCACCTAGAGGTGCAATATCCTAGACAAGCAACAAGTTCTGAGAAATACCCTTCATCTAATCTTTTTTTTATTATTATTATTTTTCCCTACCCTAGAAAGACTGAAGTGTTTTGGTTTGGTTGGAAAACTGAACTAGCTTGCCAGAGGGAAAGCAAAGGAAACCAGAACATTTTCCCAAAGAGAAGGTAAGGCCCAGCCACACCTTGCAACATCAAATCTTTAATCATGTACCTGCCTGCATAGCAGCAGCAATATTCAGTGTTTCTGTAACATCATTCATGCAAGCATTTCAAAGCACTTCATAAGCACTAATTAATCAAACCTCACAAACACTCAGCAAGCAGCAACTTTGCCCACCAATGAAGTGTAATCACTTCTAAAATGGAATATGATGGCAGTTTGATATCGCATAACGTGACGCAACAGGTCAAGGCAAGTAGAGCAGGAGCAATTGAGGGCACTTGGGAAGTACCCATCCTTAAACAGTTTTGCAGATACAGTGCTTCTTTTACGTTAGATATGCTTTGTTGGAGGTATTAGCTAAAAATATTTCTTGTGAAAAAGCAGTTTTTGCATTTCAACCAAAAGAACAATTTAAAATATGTTTTTAAATTCCTAGTAAAGTTCTTTATGCTAAAGGCAAATATCTGCACTTTGTAGGGACAATCCATCAAAATACTCTGCTGTCATTGTTGTTTCCATCTCACTAGCCAGTGGTACTTCAGTCCTAGACATGAAATAAAATACTCCTGTGTGGCTCTTGATGCCCAGGCTTTGCCAATGGCAGTTTCTTGGAGGAAGAAGGAGACTGCAAGCTCTAGCTTCGGTTCTGCTAAATTTTCAGGGACCACCTGGCACCGTTTCTTTTAGTACTTTACCCCTGGATGTTTCTTAAAGCCCTGATCCCCAGCCACAAACCCTGCTCCAGTGCAGAAGCCATAGGATCTAAATCAGGGCCTTCTCTTGGCTCAGTTAAAGCTGTCAAGCATTCCAGTTGACTCCGATGGGAGAAAGAGTGGGCCAGCCTAGTTTCTTTATATTTCTGCCAATCCAGTCTTGAGGGGTGGACTAATTCAGATGTGTGTATGTTGCTAATATTTTGATTGCATGTCTTCCCAATTAAACATATGCTGAGGAACGTTGGCCTTTTCCTGTCTATAGGCAAAACATCCCTGTAGTTTAGGTCTCCTGTCCCATCACTTCTCATCTTCTTTAGAAGCAAATGGGACATGGATTTTATTTTATTTTTTTTGACATCACACAATAAAATTATATTTTCCTTGTGTAAAACAATGTGCAAACCATTAAGTAGAATAATGAAATGCTGGAAGTTAAAACAATAAGCTTGGATGATTTAAACCTTGCTACATTTTAAAGGAGCAATATGTTTGCAAGAATGAATTGGTCTTTTGGGCTGAATAAATAGTACAGATATCCAGCCCTCTTTGGAAAGAACAAGTAATACCTAGGAACATAATTTAAACCAGTGTTGTAATTAGCTGGTCATTTCACGTTACTAGAGTTTTTGTCTTGTTGTTTGGCTTTACAAATGACCCATATAGTCTTCTTTTAATTATATATGATACTTAAAAAAAAAAAAATACCACTAAACACAAAAACCGAAAACACACACACATACACTAACTATGTTTGCATGAGAATCTTTCCTTTGGCAGAATATTTAACAGTAAATTATTTAGATGGATTATGTGGCACATTCTCCATTAATAAGTCTTTGCAAGCTTATTTAAAAGCCCAAGGTCTAGGATCTCCTCTAACCATACCTTCAGGATATCATAATTCTCCCTGACTTCACTTCCTGAACACTGAAGCAACACTGTATTTTAAGTCAAAACTCATCGCACCATACATCTAACAGATAAATAATGGGCATTACTGTGAATGGAAAAAGATGGCTTTGTTCCTGCTCATGGTAGAAACTGTAGAAGTAGAAATTCTTTAACAGAAATTCAGTCAAATTCTTGCAGGACTTCTTTCAGAAGCTAGGAGGACTAGAGTTTTCCTTGGGATTTTTTTTCTCCCAGTAGCACAGGGAGTTAAAATATTCCTGACTTTTGCACTGGGTCACCCACATACCAAGCCAATATTGAGATGGAAATCAGAGCTGTCTTAAGGCTGCTCCTGGTTACCATCACCTTCTTAAAGTCTCCAAGAAATGATTTCAGTTCCCTAGGATCAGAGAGAGACAGATGTTCCGTACCAGTTTCCTTATAAGTTCACCTGTAGTGGATTAGTAAATAATACATTGTTAGAGGAAGGCATTGCAAAGCTATCACACAAGGGTTTGTGTCTTTTGTTTGTTTGCTTGTTTGTTTTTCAAATCTAGCATTCTCCTGACAGTGCAGGTACTTGGTTGAATTGACTTTTTCCCTGTTTCATTCTAGCTGATTGCTGAAAAGAAGCTACAGGAGGTCAGCATCTGGCCCCAAATTTGAGTTGTATGCAATAGAGTGAGGATTCTTCAGTTTTAATATTAATATCAGCGTTAACAGCAGCATGCCTTCTAATGCAACACCTCAGTGAGGGACAGTCTGGATTGCGAATCATGATACTGTATTGTGAAATTTTGGCTAAAGTTGGTGTTGTGTGAGAGGCATTCTGAATGCAGATTTTGGCCCTCTAACAAGCCCATTGCCACCAACCTAAAAATTAAGAAAATACTTTTTCATATATGGACTTCTTTTTTTTTTTTTTTTTTTTTTTTTTTTTTTTGTCTCCTGGCTTTACAACTTCAATTTACACTAATTATTGATTAGTTGTAATAGTAAAAATAAATAAATAATTAAAATAACAACCAAACAAAAAAAACCACTGTCATCTATATTCATACTCATACACTAGAAATTAGAAGTTGAGGGTGAGAACTGAAAAATTCAGTCTTGGATGTTGAGAAAGAGTCAGACCTGCTGTCTCCCCTTGAAGTCACCTAGGTGAAGCTTTTTGACATAATGGAAGCATCAATGAACTGCTCGTGATTAAATGTTTGACAGGTTGACACTATCCCCCTGAACAGGAAGACTGGGGTTGAAAGAAAATTTTAATACAAACAGAATTTCATTAATACCACAGTTTGCTGTAATGGGGGTCTTTTCTTTTCCCCCACCATTATTTTTGCTTAGATGGTGTCATTACCTTTTAAAGGGGAAAGACACTATGGTTAAGCTTTGTCTCAGAAACAATGTCATACTAATGGAATGGGAGCTTTCAAGTAAAATCTGAAACAAGCATGGAGCAGTTCTGATTCTCCAGGCACAAACAAAACCAGTTTTAATAGGGTGGTTCCTTTAAATGCAGGCTCTATTCATTGAGCCAACATTTATTTTGTAGAGAGAGTGCAGAAATTCATTAAACAATATAAAATAATCAATATAAATAGAGTATCAGAATGGTCTTGCATCTCCAAATCCAAAAATATAGCCTCACTTTGCTTTATTTACTTTCTGAGAGCTTTTTTTCAAATGTGGTAACTGTTAGACTCTATCTGCTCTGTTCAGTGTTAGGGCTGTCATGATGAAAGTGCATAAACAATATAAATAATAGTTGTTGGCACATGAAAGGAACTCCGAGTGGATTGTTCTTTTGGAATCTAACTGTCAGGGCTTTTGTTTGACTCTGTTTTTTTATTATTATTATTTTTCATGTTTAATCCAAAAATTCTTAGAATCTTAAATTGATTATTTGAAAACCCATCATTCTTTTAATATTTACATTAGAATTTAATATTTATAGCTTGATGCCAGGCAATTCTTATACAATTTAGTAAATATTTATTAAATCAGACTTGTTTTTTTAAGACTTACAGTTTTGTAACTACTCCCTAGCACTAATACCCTTTGAAGCAGAATGTCAGCCTGCGCAAGTCAGTTTCTATATTGTCTTTCCATTTCTTGTCTGCGTTGATCCTTCTTGACTTCTTTTCACTGCTGAATAGTTAAATAGCTTAATCTCTTTCTGATCCTTGATATTATCAGGTTATATAACCTCCCACTCCATTCCCACTCATCATCTCTGAAATGTAATATTTGCACGTGGAATTTTGACTTCTCATTTGCGATTTGGAGCGGTCTTTAAAACATTGCTTGAACCCACAACAACTCTCCTCGTGATGCATTTTTAATTTCTCATTTGCAAGCAAGTAAACTGACTTACTGAGAGCTTACAGTCAACATTCTTCTGATACCATTTAATTGCAAGTGTTCAGCTTTTATATGCACAGCTTGAGACATTTACCACCTTACTTGCAGACTCATACAAACTCTTTTTGAAAATGAGAAGTGTGGAAGTACTGACTCACAGTGAAAAGCAGACCATATGCATCTTCTCAGTTTGGAAACCTAAAACTGAGCCATCTAAATCAATGAACGTGATAGAACGTTATAAACAGCTTACCCAGTCACCAACAGAGCTAGTAATAGAACTTGGGCATCTGCTTCACATTTTCTTGTTCTCCTGCTATGCCGTTCTCCACTCCTTAAATTTGTCCATCAGTGACAAATTAAGTACAAGTGGACACTTGAGGGATATGGGCAAAAGAATGTTGAAAACAAAGCAATTCAGAAGGTTTTATCCTTTCTATCCAAGTCAATGGCAGGTGTTCTACATCCTATTACAGCCCTGATAGTGAGTTACGTTGCGTCATTTCAGCACACTTGCTTTCAGACTGGATGAATAAATGTCAGTTCAGATAGCAGATATCCAGTCCAAATGATCCACAGTTGGATGGCAGCAGGTGAACAGAGGAATTTCCAGTGCAGGAGCCTATCCTAGCACTCCACACATGGAAGACTGCAGATATTCCAGGTCTTGGTAACGGAAAGAAGCAGATATAAACTAGGAAATATTTTCCTGTGATTTTATAGTACATTCATGATTGATTATGAGCCTGTACATGATGGAGAAGAGAGCTTTTCAGAATAAATATAAACAGTTCTGATTATACATCTTCCCTCTTATTGACACAAATGGGCAATAGACAACGTGCTATAAGCAAAAAAATGTTTCACTACATTAGGAACCATTTCTTTGCTAAAACACCCATGAAATCAGCCTCTTGACATATTCCCCAGCAAGTTAATCTGATTGTGATTGGCTCTGAGTGAAATGGAAATGAGAAAATTCCAATAAGCATGTGAACATACAAACTGATTTTCAACCCATTTTAAACACAGGTTGGCTGAAGACATTACTTGTATAGACGAGTAAGTGAAAGGATGAAGTGCATCTGAATGTAAAAGCCAAAATCAATTTGATTTTAAATGATTTTCAACTGATTTTAAAAAGCAATGGTGTGGAACTTATGTGTAAGGTTAAAAGACTTCAATTTTATTCCCTTCAAACTAAAACAAGCTTATTTTTTCTCCTGTATTCAATTTATTATTTTTTTTATTCCACTACTGTTTTCAGGAGCCTGTATGTCACTTTACCAGTTTTAGTCAGGATTATTGGACCAACAATGCAAAATATTTCTATACACTGAACTGAACAGCAGATGGGACTCCATGAATATTATATTATTCACGGCTATTGAATTAGAGATGCCCTAAAAACAAAATATCTAGTCTGCTGTGGTAGTGCCTCAGTTATGACCTTTATTCTAGCTGCAGGTTTATTTTAGCTAAATTCATTGAGAAACCCAACAGAGTGATCAAAATCCTTCATGAAAATAGAAAGAGCTTTTCCTGTTGAATTCAGTAGGCTGCTGGTCAGGCTGTGTTTACTATTCACTGAGCAAAATGGTTTTGTGATACAAGTTCCATAATAAGCCTGGATAAATTTGGATTCATTTTTTTTCTTTATTTTGCCCAATCTTGGGCAAAAATTGTTCTCTCTTAGCTTCTGTTTCCTAAACTACAAAGTGATAGTAATATATATATATATTTTTTTTCATATTTTGTTACCTGTCAATTTTGATTTTAATATTATTGGTGAGGGGATTGATTTTTACTGCATGTGGACCCAGCAGCAACTCCTGCTATCCATTTTGAAAAGTGAGTTATAGCTTCCTGTGGGACTTGGAATATGGTGGTGCTGGAATTCCAGAAGTATTTTGATCAATCCATGTTGAATGAGAGATGCTACGGTTCCTCAGATTGGATGGACAGTGCCTAACTTGTGAATTCAAACTGTTCTAAGCATTTGCTGCTTATGCTTTGGAAAATGCGTCTTGATACAGGTATGAAAACAACCCACAGTTGTGGTCAAACACAGGCTTAAATTCTGTAGAGAGTTAATTCTACAACATAGCTGTGCAGGATTTAAATGAGTTTAAATTAGAACAGCATAGAGCTTGCTGAAATCTTTGCACAAATATCTGTGATTAAGAATGGTGACAAATGTGTCTGTGCTATTAATTGTAGAATCCCATATCATAAAGGATTCTAAAAAAAAAAAAAAGAAGAAATAAAAAAAAAAAAAAAAAGAAAAAACAAACCCACAACATAATCCATTTGTCTGGCAGTATTTTAAATGAGGAGTAAACAAGCTAATTTCTGAGCTCCTTTACATCAGTGTAAATTGAAGAAGAATTTTTTCTTCAGAAATTAGACTGTTTAAATGCCATGAGATCCTTTCTATCTTCTCTCTTTCAATATCTCTGTGCATTCCAGTTCTTCTGGCTTCCCACCATGATTTAGTTTTCTGTTTGTATTTATAAGAGGGAGTTTATTGCTGATGTTTGTGCACAGTGTAATTAAAAAGCAGCTTCCGTACTGAAAGCAAGGGCTCTGAGTCAGTTCCTCATATTTAATACATCCCTTATTAAAGCAATATGATAAATCCTATATATGAAAAGAGATTAAGGATAAGGCCTTCAAAAAGAAGAAACATTTAAACGTTAGACTTATGTTCATATTTACATATATTTCAGTGGAAGCACCAAAGTTCTCAGCAATTTGAGCCAACCTAGGTATTGAGGGTCTGAAATCTCAGTCAATGCATTTATCTCTTTACTTCCATGTAAAGATTCTTCGTGGTACAATGTGTTGTTTTTTTCAATCTGCATATTTACTCACTGTATCTTTTAGTACTGTTTTACACTGTTCAGTGTTTTTAAAGCTTCTGTCTACACAACAGTAAAACCTTGCTGATGTAAATAGGCTACCTACATGGCCATTCAGCTAAGCCAGTTTCGTTAGTGTAATAGTTACATTAGTACTTACATAATTTCCTTTCTGAAAACATTCAAACTATCCTGAAACAATATTTACTGAGGTGAATTTTCTTAAGAAGATGATGCAAAATCTTCACTTTCTGGAAATGCTCTGAAGATTTTGTGCATGTATGTTTTTGTATGTCAAAATAGAGATATTAGTTGGTGAACAGCTATAGATTTTTTACTTTTGTATATCTTCCTAGATTCACAATTGAAAAAAAAAAACAATTTCTGGGACAATGCCGACTGTAAAGTGTGTGACACAAATCTCTGACATGTTCACATCTTGAAAATTATGTGTGTCACTTGTCCTCAACTCAAAAAGACCTTTCAAGATTTAAAAAAGGTAAGGAAATGCCAATAGCAGTGAGCCAATTTCTGGAATGGTTCCCATATGAAAAGAGGCTAAGTAGAATGAGCTTAGAAAAGAGGTCTGATGGCTGCGTAATTCCTGTTGGTAGAATCGTAAATTGTATGTAAAAGTATAGGAATCAACTATTCTCTATTTCTTATGCTAACAGTGCTTAAGCAAGTGTCAGTGCTCTCTCTCTCTCTCTCTCTCTCTCACACACACACACACAGACACACACACACACAAAGCATTAGTAAACTGTGGAACTCATTGCCACAGGATGCCACGAAAGCCAAAGTATAATTAGATTTAGAAAGTAATTATCTGGATTGATGAATGGTAAGCTTGTCCTTTGTAATTAAAAAACAGAATCCTTACTACTGGCAACAAAGTTCTTGATACAGCCTCAGCTCAGGAGGTCTCAAAGAGCTGAATTATAGGACATATGCAAAAAAAAAAAAAAAAAAAAAAGAAGAAGAAGAAGTCCTCTGTGTTATGTAATGCTGAAACATTGCTTTTGCAGAAGTTTTTGGTTTTGTGTTTTGTATTTTGCAATGACATTCCATGGAATGTAGGAAAATCTACAGTGGTGTAATGCCATCACAATCACTTTACTAATTTAAACTTATTGCATAGGCACACTGCATCAACATCAAATATAGCTTATTTTGTTTCCAAGTACGCTGATAGTGTACTCTCTCTCTCTGGTACACAGCAACTTTATTTCCTGTTCATATTTCATATGCCAGATAGTACCCTGTGTATTCTATAATAATATAATAATGCATCGAGTACTAAAATAAATGGAGCAAAACCTGATCAAATGTGGAAGATTTTGAACTTAGCTCCCAGTAGCATATGCATGCACCTACATGCAAATGTGAAATAAGGCAAGAATGCCTAACCTGAGGCCTACATACTCACTCCAAAAATACCAGAGTTCAGCCCTGGACTGTATTCATCTTAATAAAGGACTGAAATCCACAAAAAGGCCTGAAATCCCTGAATTCAAGTCATCCATTTTATGTTGAGAAGCATGTTTGGACCAGCGATGATTTTTTTCCCCCCAAGAGAATCTGCCTATGAAGGATGAGAGTATTAGACATTTGTTTCTTTTTATTGCAAAGTAGTAGCTGGTCTTCAACAGGACGAAAGTTGAATCGCTCTCAGATTGTGCTACCAACCTATTTTGCATATTGCTCTATGGCATTGGCTCAACAAAGCAGAGCCTACAGTTATCCATTACTCTCTTCCCACAGAGCTGGTCTGGATTAGCCAGCCAAGTTGCTGGCTTCTTAGCATTTTGCACAATGCCAGCAGTAATAGTTGGTCCTTGTGAGCAACTCACCTTGACAGAGATGGGTGCATTTTTTAGCAAGCTAGTGTTTATATTAGAGTTTGACTGTTCACCTGCTGAAAGTGCTGACTGAGTCCATGGCTAGAACTCCAAAGGTTTGCAGTGTGTTGCACGTTATTTCAAGAACGGAGGAGAACTCGTTGGTTTTCTTCTTATTATTATTGTCCATGCATAAAATTGTATTACTGCAGCATGGACATGCTTTATGGACCAACAGGCTTCCATTGTGCCAGGTGGCTGTGAATGGAGTTGCTGCATGGCATAGTAGAGAATGAAAATGAAGCCATTAAATGGGCATTTTTTGTATTGAATCTTCTAAAGAAAAACAAACAAAAAAACAGCCTTTTCAGGCTGACTCCCTTTTGCCTGGTTCAGGGAACAAGCAACTCTTCCAGTTAGCCCAGCCACACTACTGAAATATTGCTTTCTACTAGCAACAGCAGCAGTAATACACGAGTTGTCTTTAAGCTCATATCTTTGTGGAGAGGAGCGCTCACTCACCAGAACTCACCAGAAGCTTTCTTGCTTCACCTTCAAGTGCCCCTTTACAGTATGTGAGCACCTGTAGAGCCTAACATTGTCTGCAAGCGCCTGGATAACCAGCAGTGGTGAGTCTGGGGGCTTTGGAAAGTGGAGGAGGGGAAAGTTTGGGTGCATAAATAAGCTGAAAAAATCCTCACTGTCAAATGAAATGTTCCTCTGCTTTATCACCATTATTTTTAGCGAGATTTTGCATTATGGTACCTTGAGTTTTAAATTAAATGTCAAATATAATTTGGCACTACAAAGAATGAATTATGTGACTGCCCTTAGAGAAAATCAGAAGGCTTAGCTCTGTGAGTTAAATTGGTATCTGCCTTATACTGAGCTGATGTGGGCTAATTGATTAGGATCTGACAGGATACCATATTGCAAATTCAGCACAATCTCTCCCATTAAAAAAAATAGACCTAAGGTACCTTTAGGGAAAAGCAAAAAAATCTTATGTGAAACAGAATGGGGAGAGCAAAAGAGTATCTTCAAGGACTGTCTTTTGCACTGATGGTTTAGATTCCCCAGAAGCCCACATTTCTTAAGGGCACAAGATGGATGTTAATGTGCCCCGGGTCACTTTGAAAGCAGATTTGCAATCAGATTTCAGGTTCTTCTGGCCTAATCTTAAAGAAGAGCAAAATATTTTCTCAGATAGCTGACTAAATCTATCTCCGTGAGAACTAAGATGACAAAGTGCCACTTTAGATCATTAAAGGAGGGTAATACATTTTAATCAGAAATTATATGGGGAAGGACAAACCAAAAGCTATAGCAGTGGGTCATTTTAGAAATTCAGTACTCGTGGCCCTCTCCCTTTCAAAACGTATGATGCTATTTCCTGGAAACATTAGTCTTAAAAAACTATTGTCAAGTAAACAAGCCTTGTGTTTCTCACAGCCTTCATGTCTGTGTAGTCTGGGTTTAATTTTCTGTTAAGTATGGGTAGTGTTGGGGGGGGGGGGAGGACTAAGTTTGAAGTTCTAATGTAGTCAGGCTGGAATCTGTCACTCAGCTTATTGCATGTTGATGACTCAGTGCAGTTTCAGCTGTAAGCAGACCATGATTTATGGACACCAAGTGAACTCCTGCGGCAAAAACCAGCCATGAGATCAGAGCAGCAATAGGGCCCTTTTTTGGCAGGAGACAGCGCCTGCATTTTTCTCATTCATGCCAAACTGCTTTGCACGGCAATTAGCTCTGTCCTCATTTAGTCTCCAGTCCCAAAGGGTAATGAAAGTCATATATCATCTTCAAGGCTGCTAATTATCCAGCTCAGTTACAGGTAGGCTTTGTAACTGTGAGAAGGGCCTGTCTGCTTGATATTTATTGCTCTTCCAATAAGCAAGCAAAGGAGAAGGGGGGAAAAAACTTTCTTGAAAGCTTGCCCATACCCCTTGCCTCAGATCCTTGACATACCTTCTGCAAATGTGCTAGTCAAAGGGGAAATGTCTTCATTCCACATATCCATTTTTCATGCTGTAACTAAACATTCAGCAAGAACAGAGAGCAAGTGCCTGAAACATGAGAGAACATACATTTGGGGTGAGCTTGTCTCTGGCTGTTTGCTTGTGGAAAGGCAATCCTCTGAATACACAGTCATGAAAACAGGAAGAGCAGTAAGGAAGAATGAGGAAATTCTTTCTCCTCCTCCACTCCTTTCTCCTCCCAGCCCTTCAGCACACACCAGAGCAGCATCTTGGGAAAGCACTGGGGTTAGGGAACCATGATAGTTTTACTGAGGATATGTCAAATGAAACCTTGAACTCTGTATTTGAGCCCTCTCACCATCAGCCCTGAAATACTGTAAAATTCAACTCTCTAAAGAAAGTATGGGACCTGCTCAACTTTCTGTAACAGGTTGGCAATTCCATTTTTGGATGCTGATTATTAACAGAGTCAGGTCTCACTACTTGGACCTATCTTATGCTGTTTGTAATATACTGGCTAAATCCATGTTCTAGGTATCTGAGACCTTAGTATGGTAAGGATTGAACTATTGAACTTCCCAACATTGGATGAAATCCTGCTGTATTTTGAAAAGGCTTTTTTTTTTTTTTTTTTTTTTTTTTTTTTAATTTGCATGTGCACAGTAGACTTGTTACACATCCATGGAGTGACACCACATGAAGTCTGACCAAGGTCCCCATTTGCCACTGAGCCCATTGTCTCAAAAAATTCTTAAGACAGCCTTGTTGTCTAGAAAGGCAACCACCAGGGTAAACGTGTAAAGGGGGAGCTGGGGCAGAAGCAGTCGCTAAAGCTCAGCAAAAAGAGCTTTGGCTGACACCTGCATCTGGAGGTACGGTGGGTAGGAGGAGCAGAGATGCTCATTGTATGTGCACAGTAACAGCAGTATGTGACTATAAGGGCAGAAGGCAGAGAAGATCTGAGCTTTTTGTCATAGCAGAAACATGTTGAGGAGATTATGCTGCCAGGTATATGGCTTTTTGGGTGGGGAGCTGAACTGCAGCACGGTGGGAGTTCTGCAGCCTTTCACAGCTTTGAACTGCAGTGTGGTATTGGGAGGGGCCCAGTACTGCTCTGGTGCCTCTGGGTATCTGCACTTGGTTCATCCAGGCCTGATTTTCATTTCTGTCAGCAGTAGGAAAGCACAAAAAGTGCGGGGGTGTGAAAGAACAGGACAAAGTTTCTTATTCTTACATTGTCTCTTCCTGTTTTCAGTGTTGTATGAAAATGGAGGATCAGTTTTCATGATCAAATGTGATTTTATTTTTCTTTGCACTGTGAACGTCACAGTGTTTTGCAGACACTGTTTTCACCTTCTTCCTGGCCTGGAGGAAGCATTAGGAAGCTGATGGAGATCCAAGTGGTTCAGATATCAAGAGTCAGAGGAGTATTGCGAATGAGTGGGTGTTCATCTGTTGTGTATTGGCAGGTTCCCTTGAGCTGACTGGTGCTCATCTGATTTATACCAGTCCTGGAGCTGCCATGCAAACCTTGGGTTGTCTGTCTGCAGTGTCTTTGCCAATTTTCCAAACCCGTTGACTTAAACTTTCTGTAGTTGCTTTCTACATGCTCTCACCTCAGCTTTCCTGGAAGCAGGTATTCATGCAGCTCTTTCTGACAGCGGTGGGAACTACTCCTGTATGTCCTGCTGCAGAGCAGAGCACTGCGTTCCTGCTTTCCTGTAAGACTTTCTTGCTGAAGCACCATTCTACCCGTGATGATGGGTAGGGCAATGAGTTAGATAGAAGTCGCCAGTCATGATCAGAGTGGTGATCTATCTAATCTGATATCTTGGCACTGATAATGGATAGTGCTAACTGCTGTAGAGGAAGCTGTCCCTTTTCCTCCTATTATTTAATTCCTTCTCTGAAAAGGATTTTAATTACTCTTTTCTCACAATAATAAGATTTTCTGTTTCTAAAAAAAAAAAAAAAAGTTGGTTTGGCACTTTTCATTCTGCAGCTCTATAGATTTCTCTTTTTCCACATCTTGGAGTTTTTCTGCAGTCTCCCCTTGGGAGTTAGCAGAGAGTGAGAGACGCATAACAGGAAGAAACAAATGTTAAAAGCTTAATCCAAATCCTGCTGAAGCTGCTAGTGTATTGCCTTGCCACCATTTGGTTTAGATCTGCTTCCTAAGTCAGCTTCTCATGTAGTACTAATTAGCGTGACACCAATATTAAATATTGTTTTGGAAGTAGTGTTCTCTGAGATGAAGATGAGAAAGTAATGAAAAATGAATGTTTAAGCCTTGCAGTTCTCTGTCCACAAAACCTGCTCTTACACTGTCATTTCACTTGGTTTGATTTTCCTATTTATTGTCCTATCTCTTGAAGCAAACATTTTTTTCTGTCTTCTATCCATTGCCATTTAGTATTAAGAATGACCATGTTATCATAAAGGCAGGTATCCCAAATTCTTACTCTATCAGTAATGTGATTTGTTGTGCAGCAAATTACACAGGAACTTCTTGGCTTTTTGTTTACTTCTGTCACCAAAAAGGGGTGATACTCAGGGATAGTTTTGTATCAGTCTAAGGCTAATCTGTTTCTAAACTGCTGAAAAGGTGGTGAAAGGGTGAGTGTCTGTCCTCAGCAGCAGCACTCCTCCAGATGTGCAGGCAGCTGCATGGAGAACAGATCTGGGGGACTGCTGAGGTGTGCAACCACGCGTGCTGACACACAGGGTGCAGGAGAGGCAGGCAAGGGGGAGGAAAGGTGGAAAGGAGGGATCTGTCCCTTCAGCAGCATTTCACAGTTCAGCTAGATGAAGCTGGCCATGAAAGCACAACCTTACTGTAGCTGCATCCATACATTCTGTTTAGGGCTCAGTGTGTTTGTTAGGTGGCTTCTTCAGCAGGTGAAAATAAAATAAAATTATATAGGAAAGGGGCAGCATAATATATATTTCGATAATATGGAAAAGGGCAGCATAATAAAGCCTTGCTGCGTGGACCCCTACACAGGATTCGGCTACTGAGTCCCTAACTACAGCAAATTAAAATTAAAAATAATAACATAAAATATAAAATAATGCTGCTTTTAAAATCTTTCACTCATGAGGCAGCTTTACTCTCCCCTTCCTAATGAAACTGAAAAAAAAAAAAAAAAAAAAAGGAATATAGGGAAATTCCATAATTCCATTTGTAGCAGTTGAATTATGGATCTTCAGAATGATTCCTGTGCATGAGTTGATTACACTGCCACAGGAGCCTTGTTCTGTTCATTCCTTGTGGGAAGCAGTTGTGGTAAGCCTCTGTGTTCAACAGTTTGGACTGTAGGGCAACTCCAAACAGCTCCTGGGGAATTATTCAGCATTGTCTGAAAATTCACTCAGATGTTCAAAAACTTCAAAATGTTCAAAAGATGTTCAAAAGTAAAATCTCTCTGTGTATAAAGTTGGCAGCAACGATACGTGTGATAAGTAAAAATAAAGCAAAACAGAGGTCTGATGTGTGAGGTACAGGTTGGAGCAGGACGTGGTAGGATTGATTTCTTCTTATGACCAAGAGGATTTTTTTCTTTTTTAACGTATATTTATGTGCTCAACAGTAAATACATTGCTTCTCTTTTGTGACAGAAAACCATCACAAATTTGATCAGCCCCAACAGGGAAGGCACCAAACATCTTGTCTGGTAAATGTTAAGCTCACTGTCAGGAGCCACCAGATCTTTGGCATATACACATGGGGAAGGGGTGAGTAAGTTTGTTTTATTCAATCTCTTCATATATATTCTGCTCTGTATATGTTCTTGTAATATGGTCATCTCTCTAATTAATCATCTATGTGTCATTCCATTTTATGTCAGAGCAAGCAAGGTCAAAGGGATGTACTATGTGCACAGAGCAGAAGAGGCTAAGTTTTGCAGTCTTATTTAGCTCTTTCGGATGATTGTTCTTCATTTCATAATGAAGTCACGAACAGCCCACAGGAGATCCCACCTCTTGTACAGATGAACTCTAGCCTTGTTATGGAGAGCCCTGCAGGGATAGAGGGCCATAACTGGTAACTGTGATCCTCATCCTATCTTTATGTGTAAGTATGCTGGGAAGAGAAAATAAGAAACGATCCTGGTTTGAAATTTTATGAAAAGTCATTGCAGGCAGCACAGAACAAAGGTAGCTTGCTAACAGTACAACTGTGGAAATGCACAGACGTTCCTTTTCATGGGAACCAGCTCACTTTGTGAGCTTCCATGAGCAATACACAGTAGCTGGCTAGAGCCAGTGAATTAAATGTGGGTTTCTTTTATGTTGATTTCTTACTAGTTTGTCTTCAAGAGGATAATGGAAGGTTTTTTCTCAAATGAGATACAGTGCACCTCAGGCAGGGCATGGTACCTCTTGTTTGTGATTACCTTTTTGGCCCAAAGGAGTCAGAGTTACCATCCCTGGGCTCTTCTACTGCAACACAGAAAGCGTCCTGGTGCCTCCGTGTCTTTCCTGCTTTGGGAACACTGGCAGATTGATGATGGTGAGTGATGGCCAGATGTGTTTGTGCTGTTTGAGAAAGTTTCCTGAATATGTAAAACATAGGGTATTATTTCACGATTGCTGTTCTGTTTTTCTTGGACTGTTTGAGGCTACTCCTATCAAGAGTCATAGGCATTCTGTAGCTGGTAACACCACAAAAGTAAGTGTAGCCATATGTAATTTTTACCTAATTGTGTCTCTAGGATATATCTCCACACAATTAATTAACCTGTTTATTGAGCAACAGGGAAAATGTTTTATTTACTAATATAGTAAACAAATTACCAACATACCTATGCTATGTGAAACATCAGTTATAGTGTTTGTTTCTACATTCAAAAATTATCACATTAAGTATGTATATTCAGAAGCAATCCTTTTATTCCCATCTTACTTTATACAGCTGAACTCATATTTATATTGCTTTCAGTCTCCAAGCCCAAGCCAAAGGCAACCACACAGTTGTCCTCACTCGAACCAAAACACAAGTCCATTGCTGTATGTGTTTAGTCTAGGCTATTTCAATATCTTGTTAAGAAACAGACAAGCAAGGGAATACCTCTAGTTCACTCTTCACGCAGTCCAATAAAATCATGTCATAGCTTTGGCCTGGCTGCTATAGGACCAGAGACAGGACAATTCATTAGTCTGTATGTCTCTCCAGTAGAAAATTAGTACCTGATTTAGGGCAGGGCTCAATTGTGCCTTGTGGTAGGTGGCTGTCCAAAAAGCATTTGCATGACTTCCTCAGTGCATGCCTACCACAGTGATTTCTGCTTTCATTGCTCCAGACACCTCATCTATGTCTGTGCTGCAACTGAGACTTGCTGGCAGAGGAATGCAATCTGAGCTTGCCTTTAGCTTTCCACATGGCTCCCAGAGGCCGCCATGCCTTGCAGACAAAATACCTCAGGGGTATGTCAGCACTGTAAGTGCTGAAGGACCCAAGCTGGCTCAGCATAAGCAGTCTGGAACCAGGAATGGCAGGGAAGGACAGCAGATGTATCCATGCTCACTTTGTAGAACATCTCGCAGTCCGAGAGCAGCATGGTTGTGCAAATGCAGCCAAACGACCTCTAGATTTGAGCTCTTATCTCTGCACATCACCACCTGGGTTAACCATTCAGTCTGCATCCTTGAGTCAGATCCTCAAGTTCTCAGGCAAAATTTTCAATGAAGTCTGGCAGAAGGAGCATGCAATTTTGTCCATAGACACTGAATACACAGTAGCAGTTGTGGATTGTCAAATCTAGCATAGGATTATACCCCACATCATATGCTTCAGCACTTTATACAGACTATGTTTAAATTAATTTTTAATTAGCTCATTTTACAGATAGAAGATCTGCTCATCTCAGGTTTCATAACCACAACTTTGCCTGCAGGTCTCTTTATCAGACGGTTGGATTATGCCAGCACCAAACTGGAGCTGGAAGTGCTCAGACCCTGCAGCAATGAGACTAATATTAAAAGCCCTGATAGCATCAAGCACCACCCTCCATTATATCACAATTGCATTTCCATCTTCATGCCCAACTATAAAGAGCTTGTGGAGGGTGGGGGTTCATGACTGCTAGAAAACCTACAAGCCAGAGAGAGCCAAAGCTACTTGACTGTGCATAATGGTGCTACCCATAACCTCTGCATAGGTTTTGATGATTGAATGCGAGTTCAGCCCACCCAAAGTGAATCATAATGAATTGTTGTTCCAGAGGTTGCAAACCACTGATATTTTCCCTCTTCTGGTTGCAGAAGATTTTATAGACATACTCGTACATGTATAATGAGACGTGACAATGCCAGTTGCCTGCAATAGTCTTGCCTGCTTTGGAAATCCCTTCTCTCCTCCATTCAAAGTCTGTCTCCTGTTGTGAGATGCACTGGCTACACGCAGCTTGCAGCATGAACAGGCATAGCTGAGAAAGCACTAACTGCACAGATCTGGAATTAAGGTACATATAAAGTGATTTATTTGGGTTTATTCAGGAAATATGTGGCATAGTTAGGAACAGACCAACTAACTTAAAGTTCAAGTATTGGTCTTTACCAGAGCCCATCCTTACCCCTGTTCTACCTACATGTTAACAGTCTCTTCATTAGATGCTTTCAGTCCCACTGAGAAATTCTCCATGGAGCTTCCAACCCACTCTGGTGTGAGAAGATGACAACAGTTGTAATGAAATAATTCAGAAAATTTGTTTTTTCCTTTTTGTTCCTTTCCATTTGCTATCAGAAATACTGTCAGAAAGCTAATTTCCATGAGACCAGGATGGAATGGACATTTCAACATGTGTCAGTATGGCTTCGTAAGGATAGCTGCACCACGGGAGACTACTTGCTTCAGACTGATCAGATGGAAGAAAAGGCTGTCAACTTAGTTTGACACAAACTGCAAATTTGACTCAAAAAAGTTCCTGAAAAATTGTATGGTGTGCTGTTTAAGGTACATCAAATCTTTCTGGAGAGATATCCAGTCCCAATTTAATTTCTATGAAATCCTGTTCTTGGTCTGTGTGGAACCATACCACAGCCTCAGTGATGGGAGGAAATCCAACTGCAAAGGGTCCTTAAGTTATCATCCAGCCATTCACACCTCTGGAATTTCATAATAAATTGAATCAGCTGAACGTGGTGGTGGGGTTAGACAGTGAACAGATCTGAATGAGTGGTGAAACCAATGACTCATCTCAGTGTCTAATTTCATTCCTGTTCAGATTGTTTATCTAGGAAGAAAAGGGCAGAGAATGTATAAGGATATATGTGCTGTTTATTTAAATGTGTAGTAGAAAGCTAATTCCTAGGTAGAAGTTCTGCTCTGAAGCGGTGGGAGGAAAAGACTGATTTGCTATAGGGATATCATTAATTTATTTATTTTAATGACATTTCTTGTCTTTTGTTTCACATGTAACAAAAGACGATAGTGACTTTCTTCAAAGTCCATCTGTCTGAGATCCTTCTTTGTTATTGATTTCCATTCAACTCTTTCCAGCTTTTCTATGAGTTGATGGCATTCGAGGGCCAAAGCCTTGTGATGTATTTGCTGTGGTTTTATTAATGCTGTACAAAGCCTCATCTCTTCCCTAGTTCCTGATTGTGGTGGGCTGGAGGATGGAAAACCAAGCTGCAGTGAAGCATTTCAATATCCTATTTCACTGCAAACTCACATTAAATTTGCTATTCTCTTTGAAGTCAGCAGAAAAACCGTGACTGACATCAACTGAATATCTGGTTCTGTGTTTCTGACAACATTACTGCTTGTCTTGTATAGCAGTCCCTGTGGCCGCTGAGACTGAAAAGTAGCTCAGGCAGTTTCTCAGAGGTTGGGAATGCTAAGAGCCCCGATATCTCATCCTCTAGCCAGCCTGCTGTCCCTGTCCCCAGTTCTCGTCAACTTTTTCTAACCCACTAGTGCCACTGCCACCATGTCTCTGCCTAGCCTGTCAGTGCTAAATTGTCAGTAGGCATAACAGCAGGAGGATGAAGGTAACTGTTGGGTGTGAAAGGAGAAGTAGGCAAATATTTTGCTTGCCCAAGAAGCGGGAATGTGCCGTCAATGTGCCTGGCTATTTCCCCAAATAACATGTTGCAGAGCATTTTCTGTAAGAGACAGGCCTCCTCTTCAGCATCCTGCCTCCAAAAATAACTTGTGCCTGATCTTTTAAAACCCTTCATAATGTACCTTGCCAGTTACATATTGCTGAGCAGGAGGGTTGAGAGGATTATTTCAGCTGTGGCAATCAGTTTACACCTTGAACCACAAGATCGGATTACTTTTGGTATTTAATTTTGAAATATTTCCCCCAGATGTACTGTACCTTTGCATGTTTCTCGGATGAATTTCATTTTGTTATTTCCTGCTCTTATTTCTAAGCTTTCTTAGGTACTCTGTGTTGTTTCTCTGTCTTCACTTGTTTGCAGCACTTCCTAATTTAGTATCATCTGCAAATTTAATATTTGTCTCGGCTCTTTGTATCACCTGATCAGTGGTTTTAAAATATTAATGAAATATTAAAAACTGAGTTTAGCACAGTCCCTACAAATTTTCCAATGGGCAGTTCCCTAAAAGCATTTATTTGCGAGTGGGTTTGTTATATGCTTAATGTATATGACACTACAGAAGTATACAGGACCACTCAATAGAAATTATGGACATCAATTAATGCTTTCTTTGCTCTGAAAAACTTAGGCTACAGACATCTCAAACATGAGAAATAGTATAAATAGTTTGGGAGTGGGGGCATGGTTGTACGACTGAATGTATGAGTTTTTGAGTTTTCTGTGGGAAGCCTCTAGCAAAAGTGAATTCAAAGCTGTCATAAACATATTTCATGACATAGATGAAAAATAAAGACTGTGGTAGGAAAAGAATACTCAGATGGTCCAAACAAGACTGGTATTTCTTTTAAGGAGTGGGACTAATGAGAAAAAGTAGTAAAGGAAGAGGTCCAAGTTTTTGCAGTGCTTTAAAATGGTGTTTTGAACTTGATTTATAATAACTGGAAATCAAGGAGCTGAGAAGGAAGGACATGAAAAGAGAAGAGAAATCAAAATGTCCATTGAAACAAAGGCAGTAAGAAAGCTGCAAGACAAGAAAAAAAATAAAAATCATTGATAGAGCTGAGGCAGCAGATGACTAATGTATGAACTTTGAGAAAAGTAGTAAAGAAAAGGCTGAATTTTTAAATTTTTTAGACCTAGTTTTCTGGTAGCATCTAAATAAGCATAGTTGAATATTTCAGTTGACTTTCCATTAAATGATTTACTAACATGTAAATATCGTACATCAATTCTATTTTTATAAATTTAGCTCTTCCACAGTTAAGAAGAGTTTTTCTTGCAAGTTCCTATTGCAACCTGTTTGTTACTGCTTCTTGCAACCTCACAGTTCATGCAGGTTACTCCATCCTGTACTTGGCTTCAGTGGAGATTCCTTGCTGGCCTGACACGTCTTCATGAATTGCTTGCTCCTCCCTCTGTCTGCGATTGCCTACGTTCTTATTAGGTAGGAAAGAACAGAACAAGACGCTTTGCTTACTGCTTTTCTTTTTACACAACACAAGTTATGTCTTGCATTCTGAGACGAGTTTTTGCTCAGTGGCTTTTAGATAATTTTTCCAATTATGTAACAACTCTATCCACTGTATCAAGGATCATATTTTTCAATTACTGGTATGTTGTATTTTAGATACTTTATTAGGACTAATCATGTAGCAGGTGCGAAGTGCTGAGCTAATATGAAGGGAAAGCGTGGGCCTTATCCCAGTGAATTTCAAGCTTGTTGAGTGTTGTCACTTGTTCAGACATTCTGGCCTGTAAAACTGTAAATGTTGTATTTTAAGTATTGTTAGTGCTCTAAAATGTTGTCTTCTCCAAACTGGACATTTTAATGAATATGCTTTAGCACCCTGAAACTGGAGAGATTACTTGGGTTCTCTGATGGTGTTTTTAAACAAAAGTCTAATTTCTAAGTGATGGAAGAGAGGAAAGTGATGCTTAGATTGTATCAGTATCAGCTCTGACAGTCTGTATGGGAGTTTTTCCCAATGCCCACATCCTTTTGTGTAGAGCATTAGTTCAGCATTAGTTTTCTTACATTGTCAAAATCTAGACAGCTAACTTGCACGTATGAGGTAGGTGTCTTAAGTTCTTCATATTCTCAACAAAGAGAGAGAGGTGCTTCCCTTCATCCTCTGGAAGTTCCACTTTCACATAGAGCCTCCAAACCCAGGGATGTAAGGGAAAAACTGAATCAGTGTCCCACTTGGCAGCTGCACTGCTATCCCTACACAGGGGTGTGGATATGCAGAGTCTTAGTCTCAGTAGTGAACAATTAGGATTTTTATTATTAAGCATCTCACTGAATCTGGAGGGATCACCCACAGCCATAACCACAACTATGCTTAGGAATCAGGCTTATTGGAGAGGAGGCCAGCAGGGAAAGATCAGCTTGTAGTTCACACAAAAAGAGAGTTCTTGTTGGAGAGGGACAGAACAGGACCCTAGCTGTAAATGAAAGCTTTGCCCTCACTAGACTACAGTCTGTTTTGTTTTGTTTTGTTTTTATTTAAAAAAAAAAAAAAAGGCTCAGTGCAGTTGTCTGGGAACCTCACTTATTAGGCAACTTTAATTTGGCTGTAACAAGCTCCCTTTAAGCCAGACCTTGGGTAAGGCCTTAGAAATGCTCAGCTGTGCCATGTGGCTTGTAACAAATATCACAAAGTATTGATTTATTCTATAACCGCTCCCTGCCATGTGTTATGTAAATAACAAGGTTTGATAGAGTGTGTGGCTCTTCGTGCTGTAACGCATAGGTCTTGCAGAGGTCTCCAGTCAAAAGATGAAAAGCCAAGTGCCTCCAATTGTCCTCAGGATGTATGCATGACACTGCAGCTGCACACACGTGCACCAAGCCCTTCCCTTCTGAGTGCATTTTATGATGATGATGATTTTAATGTTTTATCTGGTTCTGATCTGGGCGGGTATAATCTTCTAATTACATAACTTTGAATTTTCTCAGCTTGTCTCCATGCTTAACACTGTTAATAATTTTCCACTGGAAAAGCTAAAATCATGGTGATTTCAGTGCATATGCTCATATCTATACAGATTTAACCTAGAAAAATACATGCCGTCTGAAAACACGACTAATTGTGCTCCGGTTGTAGGTTACAGAGCAGCCTTGTTTTGTTTTCCCACAGCCAAGAGAAGGCCTCAAGGCCAAAATGTCACCTCAGATTTCTTTTGATCTCAACTTATATTTTATTAACCCTTTTAACTTCACTGAGTGTGTGCAAGGAAACATGTATATTCCCTTTCATATAAAACCAGCATTGTCCTTACATCTTGCGTGCAAATGTATGGACAGTTTCTCATACAAAGGATTATTTAGATGTAATCTATATGCCTTGTGAGTTACAGATAAGAAGGGGCGGGCAGCGTTTATGCTGCAATGTTTATGATTTATTCCCCTTTTATTTTCTCTCTTTAACTCCATCCAAAATATTTCTGAGAGTCTTAGTGAAATATAATACTTGAAGCCTTTAATGGCACCTTTTCATCTCACAATTGCAGAGTGCTTTTCAGGGCTTAATTAAATTTTACAACACGTCTCTCAGGTGAGTATAATTTGAATGCATCCATTCCTGTTTGTGAGGAAACTGAGGCAGAGAGTGGTGATTAACTCAAGGCCATGCACCGAATAATATGTCAGAGTGAGAATTATGGGGTCCAGGAGATCTGATTAGTTTTGTATAGGCCAAGCATGATTTGGTTCTTAAAGATTTCTTCAAAAAGGCAAAAAAAATGATGGCCTCCTCATCTAACATAGAAGCCAAATGGCTTCTCCAGAGTCATCCTTTCTGTAGCCTTCACGATGACTGACTGGTTTACGCCACGGTCTGCTTTCGGGGCCTCTCAGATGTTTGGGCATGCTGGATGTTTGCTCGGTCCTCCAACATGGCCAGAAGAAAACAAGTAGTTGCATTCTGCCTCAGTTTCTTTCTCAGCACATGGTATAAGCCATCTTTTCTTTCCACTGGCAGTCTTGTTAGGGTGGGATCTGAATGCATCTATCGACTCCCAAAGCTTTGGTGTTCTACAGTATAAACTCCATAATATTAGCTGCAAAAAGCACGGGCTCTCTGCCTGGTCCCTGCCAGTGACAAAGGGGGAGCTTCTGATCCCTCTCTTCGTTGAGTAGTACTGAAAGCAGTCTGTCCTCTTCTGCTGTTTGGCAGGTGGAAGAAAGCTGCTGGGAGGAAAGTGTTCATCTACTCTACACATTTTTCTTCCCAAGATGTTTTATAGATTCAATCATCAGCACCCAGTAACCAAACACAGCTACTGGTGATGCTGCAGGAGAGGCCATAAAGCATCATACTGGAGTAGAGTGGGAGGATATACTTTCTGAGACTTCAATGATCAGGGATTGAAAGTCTTACCTGCTTTCACCAAAGCCTGCCTGTGGCTGTATGAGTGTGTCACGCAGGTTCTGGCTCCCCACCTTGTGTTCCTGTCAGCAGAAGGGATAATATCGGCCAGCCTGGCTGGCAGGCCTGGAACTGATGTACCTTGGAATTTAAGAAGTGAGGTATGGCCACTTATCTTAAAGTATGTGAAACAATTACCTGATGGACTGCACGGATGCAGTGTGCGGGCTGGGAGTGCCCTTGCCTTTGTACTGGCCATCATAGTGAGAAAAGGTCTCCAGCTGTGAGTCAGACTCATAACAAGCAGAGCGGTAGTTTTAATGAGTAAAGGAATCCATCTTTTGAAAATCAGTGGTGCAAATTAACTCATGATTCTTTCATCAGACAAGCCAGAGTTTGAGTGATGTCCCTTTGTTGCAAGAAACAGGTCTCAGACCTGGAGGAAGGAGGGAGGAGCCTCCAGCTGTTGAATGCAGTCCTTCACTGCCCAGCTCTGCCGGATCCTCAGCTCGCACCAGGCAGGCACTGGGTTGTGCTGTTACCATGTCTGGGTTTTCCATAGCCTCAGCAGGATTTAGCAGTCATGATGTCCGACTCCAGTCCCTCCAGGTAGGCTGTGCGATGTGGTAGCGCAGTATGTTAGCTGTGTGCTGTAACAGAGGCAGTCAGTACCCACAAGCCAAGTAAAACAGACGCAAGGAGAAGTTTTCTATTTCCAGCACTGTCAACCTGGTATCTTAGAAAGTACTTGCTTGAAAGTGAAATTGCTCCTCCCGGTCCTGCAAAGGCCAATCTTCTGTTGCTATTTTATGAAACCAGCACAGCATAGTTTGACTCTTTATCAGGATATTATAATCAGGGTGCATATGAGGCCATGCAATTGCTGAACAGTGCTTGCCACTCGCTGTTGATCCTCTTTCTGATACCTTTCTTTTCTCCTTCACACTGACCTCTCCTAGCAGTGAAGTCAGCAGCTGTGGCCACGTGCACAGGACATACTTTGACAGCAGCAGGACTCAGCTGACAGACTCTGGAATGAATTATTCCAGCAGTGTCATCTGGGTCTATAGCTGGCTCTTCTATAATTGTGATGAAGGCCTAGGTTTTTGTCTCCTTTTCATCTTCTTTCCACTACACCAGCATTGCAAAGGGACCTTAAAGTATATGTAGGAAAACTGGCCTTGGGGACACGCTTTACCTCAGGGTTGGAAACCCAGCTTTTTTTAATTTACAAGTGCTTGGTTGTGTGTAAATCTGTTTCGCTGCCTGAACTTAACATCAAAGTATCTGAGCTGTGCTGTGCTTGAGAGCAAGAGTGCATGCTCGTCATTGCATAAGCAAAGCAGAACTGTTTTAGGGAATACGGAGACAAAGACCTGAATGTGGCACACCTTAGAGGATTTGCTGTTAATTTCAATGACAGAAGGCTTTTAGCATTCCTCTAGATGAATACCACTGCAATAAACACCATTTTGAAACTCATTTTTGTTTGAGGCTATTTCACCAAGGTGTTTAAACTCCTTTGAAACCTCTTTGTGGGGCTCCAAGTAATGACTCGGGAGACTGAAGCCTCCAGGGAAAGAGCAGCGAAAGTGCCCAGGAGCCTAATTCACCTCTTACAGAGCACAGACTGCTCCTGTTGACCCGACTGCCTGAAGTCCTCAGCCATCAGGAGAGTATCAGCAAGAAACAGTGTGTACCAGGAGAAATTCCTGCCAATCCTATGCTGAGTAACGCAAGAGGAATTGCCTGTGAACAGAGAGAGCATCCTCAAAATCAGGATTCATTCTAGCACTTTGGTGAGAATGATTCCAGAGGGGTGTTTAGTGTTCAGTTTTCAGGAGGATTAGCTGCACCTTTCATTTGTCCTTCGGAGATTATTTTTGCTCTGTAAAAAGGATTTAAGAAATGGCAAACCAATGCACAGGCACATACAAAAAGAAGAAAACACAAGGTTACAGAAAGAAGAGAGATTATATCTGTTTTATTGAATGATCCTAGAATACAGTAACAAGGGGACAGTCGCCTGCTTAATCATCTCACTCTTACAAGTGGAAAAGATGCTTGACAGCAGAATGCACTGATACGAATGTAAGAGTTGGTGAAGGGGAAAAAAAACAAAAACTAAGGAACAAAATAAGCATAAAATGTAAACAAAATCCTACTAGGAGTATTTGTAGTGACAGATGCTTTGGTAGATAGGGCAAAAAATATATTCCTTTCTCCTAAAGGGAAATAGGTGGAAGTCCATCAAATAAACTTTGTCCTAGCGTATTTTATTTTTGCATGGAGGAAAAGGAAAAGATCTTTTTTGATGTGGGCTTTTTTTTTTTTCCCTTCTGCTGTTTTTTCCCTTTCTGCCATACCAGAAAAAAAAAAAAATTATGGAAGATAAGCCAAGCAAAAGAAGAAAAAAAAAAAGAAAAAGAAAAAGAATGGGGGTGGGGAGGAAAAAAAAAAAAAAAGGTTACTCTGAGTATCAGAGAGGGGGCTAATTGTCAAGGTTATATCTCCAAAGATGATTGATGTGAGGCTGGGTTTTTCTGTCAGCCTGTCACAAAGCAGGAATGTTTAATGTTCTCATTATTGGTTACGCTGTTGTGTATATTTCTCTGTCAGCACTGCGGACCCATCTGAACTGCCAAGGCACTTCAAAGCCCTGCAGGTCATTTATCATCCTCCTGACGCTGCGAATGTTCAGCCTCAGCTGAGTGCCAGGGATTTGTTATGACTTGAGAGCCAGCTGACAGACAGGTCTGCTGCAAAAAGGATTCCTTTTTGTCACACTGCGAAAACATCAATGTTCCTATAATGGCCTACAACTGTCAAAGGGGACTGCCACCTGACAGTTGTGTGGTCTCACTAATTTGCAGCCCGGTGACTTGTTTCCTTGAGTTTAGATTCAGTTACGGTGTCACATGCAAACAGGTCACCATCTGTCGTCCTGTGCCAGGGGGCACATGGTAGGGGGCGGAGAGGGAGGGAGCGAGGCAGAGATGAGGAAAAGATGAAGTGGCAAAGTGGGGGGGAGGGAGATGCAAGGGAAAAATAAAAATGGCTATGCAAATCAAAGCCATGTCTTTATTTAAGATTCCTGTTTCCTGAACGTTCCTAGCCTAACACAATGTGAATCTCTGAAAGTTGTGATGAAAATCAAGGCAGGGAAAGAAAGGACCTTGCAAACAGCCAGAGCTAGTGAGAGAGAGGGGGAGAGAGAGAAATATCAGGGCTTTGTTTCCTTTCCCAGGCCATGACATGATTAATCGTTTTCTTCTGATCTAATTTTGGAACATGAAAAACAGCACATTTGTCTTGAAGAAAAATGATGTGCCGTACTGCGCAGATGGAAATTTCGAGCAATGAAAAAGATTAAAGTGAAATTCCACTCCTTAGACCTAATCATGAGTTGTAGATTATTCTGTCGTTCTAACCAGATGGTAGGCTTGATTCCACAACCCCCTTCTTATATTAATGAATACTAGACTGTTATATTTGACTTAGGTAAGTGAAATGTCTATCAAGCCTAATGGACTGCCAGCCAGCATAACACATGTTGTACCACTGAGGGTCCTTGCTGCATTTTTCATGTTTTATACTAATGTAGAACATTTTGTTTCCTACTGTTTTCCATCATTGTCACTGTTTGCTAAATATTTTCACATGTAGGGGGAAAAAAGTAAAAAACTTGTGTCCAGAGCTAATTTCCTCACGTTGGTCGCAGCTATAATTCTACAAGTAAAACAGTCACCCGAAGCAATGCATACAAGAACTCAATAGTAACTTGATTAAGTTCCCAGTCAACAAGACTGCACTAGGCTGTATGTTAACAAACCTAATTATAGGCAGCATGGTGATAAATTGTGCAGGGTGCGTGTAGCACATCTCTGAGGTCATGTCTAGAAAAGAAGTTTTGCCCCAGGGGACAGGGATGGGGTGTCATTTCTAAATAAAGTAAACACAGGTTCACTGATGTTTCCCATTGGGTTACCTTCCGCTTTCTGACAAATGTTATTCTAGCAGGGGTGTCCCAGGCGATCCTCATGGGAACAGAAGAGTGAAGGAAGGGAGGAATGGGAGGCTGGGGGATTCTCTTTAACCTTTCCAACCGTGCAGTCCTGTGACTGTCAAGTAATTTCTACCAAGTCTGGGCTCGCTAGAGTCATGGGTATGGATAATCATACGTTAGGATGGATGCCACCACTTGTGCTCAGAAAGCCTGTTATCATTTTAAGCATTTAGCTGAACAAAATAATACTTGTCATGTGTGCTGAATGTGAGAGTGGATTGGGCTCTCTTCCCTGCACATAAAGTGAAAGGTATAAATCTCTGGTTTCTCCTCCTTCAGAAAGCGACACTTGGGCAGTTGTTGCATCCTGCCTGTGCGTGAGTGCCTGCAGCCCGGGAGAACGCCGCCAGGTAGAGGAAGCGTGCGTGCACAGACCTAATTTTAGACACTGAAAGAATCAACAGGATGCGTGGATCAAGTTACTCTTTGCCTAGGAGAGAACAAGTCCAGAAACATGAGTAAGCAGGCAAGAGTTGTCCAAATCTGGACTTACTAAAGTGTGATAGATACATTAAAGCTATATTGTGTGAGCGCCGGTTAGGCTGAACAAATCCTGATAAAGAAAAGTAAGGCACCAAAGTGTACCTCCTAATCAAGTAACCAGGATATTTCCATTAGAAGAGGAATATCTTTTGATAATGGAATGCATTTAAAGCTTATTTCATTGCTTTAATGACTTTGTTCTCAGTTTATTAAAATTGTTTCTTAAAGTTAAAATCCTGATCTCTGCAGGGCACTCCCTCCTCAGCAGAACTACCATTAATGTTGCTGCTGAGTAAGGACTTTGGGATTGCACCATAGAATAAGCTCTGAGTAGCGCTCCAGCATGAGTACCTTGCATTTGGGATCCTCACTGTTGACAGTTTTTCCTTTTTCTCGTACACATACATTTTTTAGAAAGGATAAGGTGAGGATGTTCTGAGCAGAATGAATTTTTTTCTCAGTGTGTGTATTGCCCAAACTGAAAGCAAACAAATTGGAAGGTTTAAATTAATATGCCTCAAAACATTTTTCTTTGTAATTAATGTTAATTTTAAAAAGTATTTATTTGTATTTGTACTGATTGGATCTGTCCAAGAATACAAGCTAAAATACCAAGACTGTTTCATCACATTTCTGCTACAGCTGGATTTAGACTCTGTTTTAACAACCCTTAAAGCTTGCTCTCAAGGGATTAAAATTTTTCATCGATGAGAATTCCTATGCAAAAAGTTGCATGACAATTTTTTTTCCAATTAATTTAAACTTCCACTACCTTGTGTTTACTGAGAACGCTACAGAGGAGCAAGTTACCCCTTTAAATTATCTGTACAGATTACCAGTCTGTGGAGTTCATATCCTCTGGGGAAAACTGGCTTCTTGCAGTGTTGCTTCTCTACACAGGGCGTGTGGAGCTGAGCTGGCAGTGAAGGGAAAGTAATTTGTTCCTGACAAGGGCCAGTAGCAGACTATTTCTTCACTGGAAGAAAGTGACAATCAAGCAGGAAATTGTGACTGCAGTTCCTTATTTGAACTGATCCTTCTTAGGAGCTGGTAGACATATCTTAACTTAGCCTTTAGCTTGTTTTCCTCAGTCTCACGGTTTTGCTTTCCGTGAAATGTCAAGGACCTTGAATTCCTGCAGTGTTTATAGTTTGGCCTATGGAATTCACGGCCCGCTCAATGTTGCCGCTTTACACTTTTATCGTGAAAGTAACACAGGAAAGGCTGACATTGCTCTTTCTCTGTTAGGATTTCCTGGGGATGACTGCAGCTTTAAGAGAGGACTTCGACCCACTGGAGAAGAAGGTAACACATAGGAAAGGGAGAGCAAATTGTCTTCTGTCGTTGAATCTTTACTAAACCAACTTATTTCCAAATGCAAGGATGGATGGTGACTGTGCTGTAGCTATCTGCCACATTGTCTGTCTGAAGAGTGCGTACAGCCTTTCTGAGCTGCCATGGGCTGCTACTTTGCTGTAAATTCAACCGATGGCAAATGATGGGACCAGGAAATAAAGGTCTGCTCTCAGCACTCAGTAACACTACCCAGGAAGGCAGGACCTTGACGACATGGAACATCTATCCAGGTTTGGAAAAGGTTACCTACAACAGACTCAGCAAGTTGCTTATCAGTTTCCACATGTCTAACCCCCATCTGTGTGCTCAGAATCGGAGTGCTTGTACTTAGGTTTCAAATCAGTATGCCCAGGTAAGCCTCATAGTTCTGAATCAGCATGATGTTAACTTTCTGAAAGCAAGAATCTGTGGCTCCTAGCATTTCTTGAGAAGATTGCCTACGCATGTGATGGATCCCCTTCTAAAGAAGCCATCTGTAGAAGGCTCTTGCATGCTAGCTTCATGCACCTCCTTGGCTGCCTGCCTTCCTTTGGAGAACAGGACTCTATTCACCCCTGTGACCTGAGGCTCCGTTCATCTGACTCCGAAGCCATCCCTGCCTGGGCAAAGTGACTATCTCTGGTGGGGCCAGGGGCGAGGGAGGAAGGAAGGAGCACACTCTTATCTGAACTGCAAAACAACCACCGCTTACAATAGTTTTCATGAGGGGTGACAAGTCTCTTCTCTTTTCAGAATGTTTATTGCCATTTTACACATGCTCCCAACTTCCCTCCCTCCTTGCACTTTTCTCGCTTTTGTACCCTGTAACTTTCATCAGTTTGTTTCTTTCCTTTCAGATGTGCTCAAGGCGCAGCAAGAGTTGATACAATCTAATACAAACTTCCCTGTTTGCTGTATCATAAAATGTAGTGCCTGGTGTGTTCATTCCCCTCCTGTCATCAAGTGCCAGCTACAGCAGTGCTTAGTACCTCCAGGTTCTTCCTGCTGTCATTTTCACTTCCCCCCAAGGACTAAACATTTAAAAACCAAGAAATCCTAACTGAGATCCTAAGTAACACTTGAACCATGCTGATCTTAGGTAAACAGTTCCCAGAGTGTTACCATTCCTGATGTTGAAAGAGCAGATCAGTGAAAGAAAAGAATGTGCATACAGATTCTTGGTAATCAGACAGCCAGCTAATTTCTCAATATTGAAAGATTCCTTTTGAAGCCATTAATTTTGTTTACATTTCAACTGACACACAGGCTAATGAGCCTACCGTTTACTCATGAAAGACTTTTACCCAATTTTTAGTAGGAGCTAATGGTTTAAGGCTTAATTTGATGAAAACAATAAGAAATGTAAAACTGGGCTTGTTTTTTGTCCATTTTGTATATATTTATATTTCAAGCTTTACTTCATTAAACTGCTTTTTTCAGTTTAGTAGTAGACAAGTAAGAGGAAAAACTGCCCTGCACGTTCTTGGCAGAAATGCTTTTGCCCGACCAGGTGCCGGTGTGAGAAGTGATGTCAGGTACTGAAGAAACACCCGATCTCCTGTTGGCTAGAAGCCTGCCTTTCTGCATAAGAGTGGGTGTACGTTTCTTATTGAAAGGTAAAACCTAGGTCATCAGTAATAATCAGCATCTCTTGCTTAAAAAGGGCTTTAGACTCTCATCTCCTCCCACAGCATAGGTTGGGTTGTGTCAGGGTCCTGATGGGCTTTAATGGCCCTGACCAGGCTCAGCCGGGAGCACCACCCACAGCCCCTGCCTGCAGGTCCAGGAGCCCCATTTTGGGCCAGCTTTGGGCACCCTGCTGCTCCCTAAGCCATGTTGTAGAGGTTCCTGTGCCCTTTGTCTGCTTCCCTGGCTTATGGGCTGGTTTTCGTGGGTGGACTCCAGACCTGACCTGCAAGGTCGCTTTGCCTTCTGCCCCTGTCCTGGTTAGGCTTCCTGGGTGGATCCTGCACTTTCCAATTTATCTCGCCTTGTCTGGAATGATCAATGGACCCTCTCACAACCACGGGCCCAGCCCCATTCAGATGATGTGGGGCTGCACATGGGTTACCCTCATTTCCTAGCTTATTCTGCCTCTGGAGAAGCTCTGCTTTTGCTGCTCCCTGACAGGGGGCCGTTTTAGTATTTAACGTTAATGAGTTTGCTACACAGCAGGAGAGCTCCCAGCCAGCGTTGGTTTTTTTTTTTTTTCTTTTTTTTTCTTTTTTCCTCTGGCCCCTCCACAGCCCCCTCATGTGTTCCCTGCTCAAGAGAAAGGGGGTCTGCTTGAACATCGTGCTGCTGTTTGCACTACCACATGTGGTACAACTCTGCTCAAGGCTCTTGCAGCAAAGTTGAAGGCTTCTCCTCAGGCCCATGAGCATGGGCTGTCAAGGTACTGGGAACAAATCCATTGCTGATTCTACTTGGTTTTGCACCTGCATAAGCAGTTATTGCTTCAAAATGTAATCTTTCAGTTTTGTTTAGGCACGACACAGAGCACTTTCACCTGCTGTGTGAATTTGTGCACATTCAGAAGGCCTCCCTGTCTCCATTTGTCAGTGGAAGGGGTAGAGTTTCCCTGGTGCAGTGCCAAATTTATACAGAATTTGAAATTTCCTCCTATACGAGATGCAGTGTTCTGTAATCCTCAAGGAGAGCCTAATGTCTTCGGGATATAGATACATATAAATACCCTGGCAACTGAGAAAACAGTACTTCTAAATGAAACAGGTGAGTGTGTAGCTGGTATCCCACTTCCTGCTGTTGTTTATTGTTTTTCAGAAGCATACATTCATGATAAATAAAATCTCAGAAAATTTGACAGAAGGAGACTTGAAGAAAGGCTTCACTGTTACTGGTAACTAGCTAACTTAGGCTGACAACAGCAGATGACTGGTGAAATATTGACGTTGTCTTAGACTTGCCTCTTCCTCTTTCTGGAGTGTTGGTCCTGAGAGCCAATTTAGCCAATGGTTTTGCCACATTGCTAAAATTAATCTCCAGATTGATGTAAAATTTATCACAGAATTCTACCTTTAGAGAATAATAGGCATTGGAAATAAGGAAACTTTGCTTGCCTCTATCCTTTGTCATTAATGTTAATAAAAGACTAACTCTAACCCAGGTTGGTGTCAAGGGTAAGGAAATATAGGTCAGAACTGTGATTTATATGCTCAACTATTGGATTTAAATACCAACTTCCCGTTAATCTCAATGACAATTATTTAGTTAAATCCTCATATCCTTTCAAAAATATGCCAGTGCTCTCCTACTAATTTTGTCATGCTCATACATAGTGACAGATTTTGTAAAACTACTTTCATAAATGAACAGACCAAGAAGTGCCATACTGATGAATGCCAGTAAAAAAAAAAAAAAGAAAAAGACAACCTGATTAGATTTCCTGTGGTAGAAATATATTATCAAACAAAATACAGTTTTTGAAATGCAACACCATGGAGGAAATACAGTAGGTTGAAAATTCCCATAATGAGAAATCCATGAGCCTAAATATTTGGTGTTTCTGATTTGCTCACTTCCTCAGGTTAATGTTTCTTCAACATGTTTCCAATTCTGTTTTTCAGCTGAATTGGTAGTTGTACTTTCAAAGGTGATGATTTGCAAATGATGATTTCCAGCCTACTGTATTCTGTGTAAGGCAGAATGTCCGTCAAGATGCCTGTAGGTGACATTAGTAGTGCAATCATTCAAAATACAGCCTGACAGCATTTCAATCAATTCACTTTTCAACACTAGACATCAAATATACATTGCAAACCCGGCACCTGCTCTGCTTATAGTGTGACATCAAATAAGTTAGCCCCAGGTCCTAAGACAGAGGCTGTCCCTCTTGAACTGCCAGATTAAGAAGTGACTTTGGCAATGATACTCTTGGAGATTAACACTCTACCAAACCTGGCTCTCAAGCTACAATACAATCTAATCCCCTTACTCCTTATGTGTTGCTCTCTGAGCACAGACCACAGGAGCTTTGTGTGCTAGATGGGTCTGCCAGAGTCTGGGTCTTAGCATTGTACAGTAGAGGTGCACACTGACAGCAGAGGTGCGAGCAGAATGGCAGTCTCACATTTACAAAAATTTGCCCCAGGTCTGAGCTCCCTGGGAGCAGCTCCCTCCCGGTGGTAACAGCTGCATTGCAGTGCCCCGGGAGGGCCCTGGGGAGGCTGGATTTTGCAGCTGCTCATGCAGTCTGGGTGAGGGTATCGAGAGCTGCCTTTGAACAGAGGGTGAAACATGAGGGGAGCGCCCACCTCTTGTCATGTGGTCCTTGAGAGGAAGAGGTGCAGCTACTGCCCCCTCAGTGGGTGTTCCCGTGCCCTCCCGCAGGGCAGGGAGCAGTGCTGTGCTACCGTAGCCCCACTCACAGCAAGCCTGCCCAAGGGCTCCCTTGCCTTCGGAGCCAGCCCCCTGCCACAGCAGGGACACCACAGCCCACCTGGGAGGAAGGACACACCTCAACCCATGGGGGAATCCCAAAGGGGATTTTCACTCAGAAGGATCATTAGTGTGGACATATCAGAGTCCTGGCCCTTCTGGCCTTGTGAAGTGGTGGCTTCAGAGAATAAGAGGGAGTCATGGGTGTTGCTAAGAGTTGAGGGTTGCTGCTTTTCTGCCTGGAGCCTGCTGTGTTGATGGGGTTCGAATGTGCAGACCTATGGCTGAGAGGGACCGCTGATGTTAGTTCTGAAGGTACCTTCCCTGGGGGCCTGGTCCTATGAGTTAAGATCTCAAAGGTTTCAAGCATGCACTGAGCAAGAGAAGAGATCAAGCAAGGGTGTGAAGGATGGTTTTGATGCTGTTTTTGGTTTTGATTTTTTCCTTTTTTTTTTTTTTTTTTTTTTTTGGAGGAAGGTTGCCCTGCGATGTTCTGTCCTAGTGAGATACCTGAGTCCTGAGCTCCAGCCTCTATCTGGAGACAAGCCCAGAAGATCAGAGCAAGACTGCCTTTAGTGTGGTTCTTGACTGCCTAAGGCCAAACACGGACAAAGGAGTATAATTAATTCCAGAAGTTTCTGTGAAGGACTGTGACTAGACAGGCTTATTCTGTTTGTTTGTTTTTCATGTCTTTTGTGGAGTTTTCATCATGGAGGCATGACTCCTCAGGAAGCATTCTGTTTCAGTGGATTCCCAAACAGAACAAAAGACGGAGTTTCTCCTTGTCCAGTGTCATTTACAGCTTCTAATGGTGGTAAAGGAACAAGAAGCTGATTGTGAGAGCCTCTTCTTTGCTTGTGGCCTGCAAGAGGTGGTTTTTTTGTTTGTTTGTTTGTTTGTTTTTTGTTTGTTTGTTCTTGTTTTGTTTCTCTTTTGGTGGGGACCAGAATAGGTTAGCTATCGGTGCCCTTTTAAGTTCTCATTTCACAGTTATAATTGGGGCTGAAGTAAGGTCTACCCCTTGACTCGCAGCAACCTGTATTGTATCTGCTGGTTCTTTTGCTCCCAAGTCAGATCAGTAACTCCCTCCTAAATCATAGGATAGCTAGCTACAAGCAAAAACCATGGCAGTGCCTGAGAAAGCAGGCAGGTACTGGATGTGATAGGATTTCATGTTCAGAGGAATGAAAAGGCCATGCTAACTCATGACCTTTAGAAGGGCAGTGTGAATCCCCTTTCTTCAGTCCTGTTTGCTTTAAGACTTTGGTGCTGATGGCATAAATGAGGGGGATGAGCATCTGGGAGATGAATCAGGTGAAAGAGCACCAGAAAGGCACTGTCAGCTGGCCATAAGTGCTGTACCCAAGGGACATGAGTTGGGGCCCAGGTGTGACAGGTATACAAGGTGACGGTTTTGATGTGTCCTGTTTTACCTCACGCCTCACCACCAGTGCAGTGCCAGTGCTCTAGAAGATGTGATCTTCCATGACCACAAGTACAACACTGGGTTTGATCCAGCTTCGGTCCCAAGCACAAGGCTTGAGTGGTGATGATCGCAGAAGCAGTCAGGGATTGCAGGTTCGTGTTTTAACATGTGGGGCGGTTGCCCTCGCAGCCAGCTAAGTGACACAGGTGGCAGCCAGTCTCAGCATTAGTGGGCCCACCAAGGGCAGGAGGCTCATGCCCCCTCACCCTGCAGGAGCTGCCCTTGAGCTCTGTGGAGGGCAGTGCCGCGCGTACTGCTGCCACCCTCGCTGAGACTCTCCGAGGCAGGAACGCAAGTGCAGCAGGAGGTACACAACCCACATGGCACAACAGAGGTTAACGCTGCGCCTAATAACATTCACAGATGAATCAAACAGCTGAGTAGAAAAAGCTGTCATAAATATTTGCTGTCCTAGCAGACTGTGTGTGGGAAGAGGAATGCTTAGAAGCTGATGCGGTAGAAGCATGGACGAAGACTTCAACAAAGATAGGAAATTGTACAGGGTGGGAGAGGTTACTCAGAGCTGCTAAACTCAGTGGTTTGGGGCTCTTCTCTCCAAGGAGTGACTGAATCTCTTCCCCACAGAAAGGCTGGGCTCTGAAGAGAGGCAGGCTGGATGCTGGTAAAGCCCAGGTTAGGGCAAGGTCCCCGCAGGCTTGCTCAGTCTGCTCTTGGGACATTAATCTGGCTGGTGCACTGTCAACATGCAGGCTCACAGATGGTAAAAGGACTCACAAGCCAGGCCTGAGTGCTTGCTGTGGACACAGATGTGCTCTGAAGATTGCTTCGGTATTTATGTGAAACAACTGCTTTTTATTAAGAAGTGTTGAAACTAATATAAATATTTATAAATGACTTTAGCATATTAAATTGTTGACATTACACAAATACAAATATTTCATAGAAAAGTGAATAAACATATAAAGCTACATTACTTTGTAAATGAATTCATTAGTATTTATTACAGGAAATTGCAATTAATTATTAAGCATTACGATGGCTTGCTTGGAGAATGGATGTATTATTTTCACTATAATTAATAATTTTAATTACCGACTTTAAGTACTGGTGATTTCCCCCCCACATCACAAGGCACATTTTTTATAAGGCATCTGAAATATGCTAAGTGTTTTTGTTCTGGGTAGCTTTGTAGTACAAAATAAACAATTGAAAATAAAGTTAATTTCCTAGTTGCTAAGTGGAAATAGACGCTCTGGCTGCCCCTTAATCTGTTATGACCTGGCTTGGGAGAGCTGGTTTATATTGAGCAATAAAAATTTTATTTCTCCACAGTTTTCTGCATCACAACCAAAAAGCCAAGAAAGCAGGTTTTCCCATTCTACTGATTTTTATGTCCTTTCTGCCATCAAAAAAGTGTTTGTATGCTCAAAAGCCTTCTGTCTTTCCTTCTCTCCTTACACCTCTTGTATTAAATTGGCCTAAAAACGCATATTGCCTCAAAGATGTCTGTAAATTAAGATGGTCTCGCTGTTATTCCTGGTGCTAAGCAGGGTGCCCCATTACTATCTTGTAAACCTCCAATCATGAGACCTATTATGCAATATGCAGACAGTCTGTTTTTAGACATCTTCATTTGTTAAGCAGATGCATAACCTGCATGTATGTTTGTGGCTTGTTGCCACAGGTCGTCACTTCTCAAATCTGTGCTCCGCTTGTTTTCCCTTGTGCCCTTCGGTGCGTCTCAGCACTCTAATATCTCACAGGTTCTTGCTTCTGGTGTCTCATCTACCTGACTGCTGTGCTTAGGACACACCAGCTCTCAAGCAGAAACGAGCATTTTCACTTCTGCATTACCATGATTAACTTTGCACCCAGTACCTTGGTAGAAAAAGAAGTGCCTGGCCAAACTGTACCTCTAACCTCCCCACCCTCTCCTATGGTATCACAGCATCCCCTGAACTCTAGTTGTCATTACAGTCTCCCACAGGCCCCTCCTGACAGCAGGAGTTGCAGATATGAGCATTAGCAGGCACTAATGAGGACATCTGAACTGGGTTAGTGGTGATTTTTCAGCTGTTGAACCAATCACCAGACTATGAAAGCCGTGAGGTGGATTAGCAAGGTATTTTGCTTAACACTGAAGAGCAAGGGTGGCACTGCCTGTGGATGGTAGGGTGGCCGTATGATTTCTCATAAAGTGCTTTATGCTAGAACAAAACATAGATATTCTACCCCCATTAGAAGTTGGGTTTAAAATATATGTGCAGTTAAACTTTTAAACATTCTTCTGTATGTTGCTAAATACCTTTAGTTCTACTGAATGGATAGGCTGTGGCTGTTGTGAATTGGTCTGGCTGTTTGGAAGTGGGGAAGGAGCATTGCGGTGGAGTTCTTTTTTAATTTTTTTATTTTTTTCTGTATTGAAAATACAGAGAATAGAATGAATTCTTTGTGAAATTTGGATGGATGATTCCTTCACAGGTCCTGGAGGAACTGCAGGGGATTCCCTTTCTTGCTTCACATCATAGCATGGTTCCTTGTGTTTGTCTCATGAGAAATAGAACAGCTCTGTTTGACTGATACCCTACTTTTCTTTTGAGACTGTTTAAGGTAAGATGTGTTTTTTGTTTAAGGTAAGATGTGGTTTTTTTTTGTTTTGTTTTTGTTTTTTTTTACCTCCCACCTTTCTGTTATTAGGAGTGGGTAGCCATTGAGTAGGTATGTCCAGGTTGGCTGATACAAAGCAGGGAATGCGGATCAAATATGAGTAACTTGGATTAGCAGTAGGTATGCAACTTACTTAAGCCACCTAAATAATTATTTTGCATCAAAGTATTTTCTAAGCAGGAATTCAAATTTAGTTGCCTGGAGTTTGCTATACGAGGTTATGCGATGAATATGCATTGATTCACCAGAACTGTTATTTTACGAAATCATTTCTTGTCATGTTTTTAGTTTTGATGTATTTACACTAATGTTTCTCTCTAGCATAGCTTGAATAAGATGGGATCCTTTGCCTTTCATTGCAATAATTAAATATTTATTTTGATTTTTTTCATAACTGGAGTGGTAATTACTTGTTGCAAAGCACTTTGATATGCTCTGCTCAGATGGAAGATGTTACAGAAAAATTCTGTTGTCAGAATTGAATGAAAGCTAGAAAAACATAAGTAATAATGCAAATACAGAAATGATTTCACTGAATGTATGCTTCTGTGTATAATTTCTCTGTGGTATTGGAGGTAAAATTAGAAAACCCAAGTTATTGGCTGTATTCCGCAAGTGACTGAGCCTATTGTACTGGTACCGTTCAGCCTCACAAAAATACCATGTTCCCAGCACTCGTCTGCTAGTTGTGATATGAAGGTTATTTAAGGTCTGGAGCTGATAGAGGTTTTTTTGATTCACCGTGGGGTAGAATTGGGTTTTAAGTGATCTAAGACCTTCCTTTGCCCAGAAAAATGACTGCATTCCTTCTCCAAATACTTGGTGTGAATTATATTTAAACTTTGTAGCTGGCTAATAAAATTAAAACATTTTAATGTGTTTTTCTAGCAACACTGATTTAGTCGAGGCCTGTGGGATTCAGAAAGAGAAGTGTATGAGTGCGTCCACACATACATGTGTGATGTGTGCATACACACAGTAGTGAAGCTTAAATTGTAACTTGAAGTATAGCTGCTGTTAATTTGATCAGTGTATAGATGTTAATGTAAATCCCCCAGGATTTGTCCATAATGCATAAATGAGAAACACTTGTTTGCAGGTATATTTTATGTAATGAATAAGATGAAATCTAAACAATTAAGACTTATGAACTTTTTTCCGTTTCAGACTCAAAATAGCAAAGGTGTCTAAGATGTGCACTTGAACTTATCTCATTATAGTTTTAAATGTTGCCAAAGTAACTGAGTACATTTCTTTAAGTATATATTTAACACTAATTATTCTGTGTTGTGGATCAGTGATATCAGAAAATGAATTCCACTGAACCAATCTCTATTGGCAAAAAGTATACATTTCATTGGTGATGCTGTGGTGATGCATCTTATTCATTACATAAAAATTTTCAGTCTCCTAATAATATTTTGCACTTGCTTATCTACTTGATTGTTCCCACTCTCCCCCGCTGCCCAATATAGTAAAGCTTTTATCTACTCTTAGCCACCAGGATATGTCTAGATAGTCATAAAGGCCTCTGCTAGCCCCTCAGACTTCTGTAATTAAAATGGTTGGGGTTTAGTATCTTGTAAGTGGCTGTAGTGGCCCTAAGCATGCAAAGAAGGCACAGAAAATGAAGCATCAGGGTGGGAGCTCAGAGTGAGGGGAATGAAATAATCTAGTGGATTAGAGAAGATGAACGAGGAAAATTAATATTAGTCCTGTTGGTTGTATTACAGTTGTAGTATAGCTGGTTCCAGTTGGTTGAATATCTGATACAGTCAGTATCACATCTGTGCATGGAGTCATAGAGGAAAAACAGTATGTGCTCTGCCCTGAGGAACTTGCACTACAAAGACAACAATAGGGGAAGGAAAAGGAGTTAATGCTACTTACTGCTGTTGCTTTATGATCTGCTCCTCTCTTAATTACATATGTGCCTGTGAGAGCAGCTTTGATAAATACTGAGCTGCAAATTAACAGAGGAGGCTTGAGGGTGCCTACAGACTAGGAAAAAGAAAGTGATGACTTTGATTTACACTTGCTTGAAAAAACAGCAATACCTTTTATAATGGGCTGTGTGATGCGAAAGGACCGAACTAAGGCAGAAGGGGCAGTTGAACAGCTGGTGTAAGCCAGCATGGCTCATTGGCTTCAATGAAATTGAGTTGCTTGCTACCAGCTAAGGCCCAAAATTTCACTCAGGTATTAGGACAATGTATTTGATGTACCCTTTGATCATTTAAGTCAAATTGCATGAGTCATTACTCAGAGTGCAGAAGAAAGTTGTGGTTTCAAAAATCACTTGCTTCCCCCTTAAAGTTCACTGAAACGTTTGCCTTAAGAGCCCTGAAATTAAGAAACAATAAGTCCCAAATATCACCCCTAAATAAATTTATAAGGGGTCAGAGGGAGCTGGCACACAAGACTGAAGTTTGAACACAAACTCATAATGTTATTAATATTATATGTTAATGTTAACTCATTCACTTTGTCTTGACCCAAGCTATGTTTCCACCTGTTGCTTTTTTTTTTTTTTTTTTCCCTGTAAATTCCTCCAAAACTTCCTAAATATAAACCAAATTCATTATGGTCTGCAAGCAGCATTTCAGCTTTGTAGGCTTGGGGATATTGGTCTACTTAGTAATTTTGTGCTTTAGGTGCATTCATACAGATGGTGAGACAGAGCAAAAAGATTTATGTTTAGATTTATTGGGGAAGTCTATTTTTCCTCTTCTGGCTGACATCAATACGACTGTGTTTTCCATTCACTCCATCCCAATGTGTGCCCTGAGAAAGTACGGAGAGGGCGCCAGTTGCAGTCCTTCCTTCTAACAGGTCACAACCATATTGTTCCTGAACAATCAAGGTTTTATAAACAAAGTCTGACTAGAAAGATGGTGAGTTGTTATGCTACAAAGAGCTTTGCTGAAAGCAAAATAAGGCAAAAGAGAAACTGGGTAAGGTCTAGAAAATGTTTTTAAAGTTAAATCACAGATCTTGAGTAAGACATTGATCCATTGCTGTCAGAAGAACTGTGCCACCTTACAGCAGTGCTGAATTTGGTCCATTAATGTTTGTACTGTGTAGTGTATACACTTTAAAGTGAAAATAAGCTTCTAAGTACAGAAGTACTTAAGAAAACTGATTACTACTGACTTTAAAGGGATTGCTGAAATGTTTCAGGATAGACATATGCTTAGGCTTCTTGTTGAGGGTGTGAAAGAGGCTGTGAGTGATGCCCTTCTATTTGCATTGCCTATCATAGTCATCTCACATTACCTGAAGTTACTATTTCCAATGACCATCTGTCGCCTTTCATCACAAACTTAACACCACCCCTGGAAACTTGCCCCCTGGGAAGGCATGCTACAGTTACTCATAGTAATAACCTATATGGAATTATTTTTACAGTACTGGACCTTGTTTCTTTGGGGTATGACTGTCTTTTTACTACACAACATACAGCATCTGGTATAACAGATGCCCTGTCTTTAAAGCAGTCAGTCCCACTACTGGTTGGAGGGGGAGGGAGACACAGGTGGATGATATTTTGGGAAACTTTGGGGTGGTCCTGTATGGAGCCAGGAGTTGGACTCTGATCTTTATGGGTCCCTTCCAACTCAGGGTATTCTATGACTCTGTAATTCTAAATGCAGAGCATGAAAGGAAGCCTCTTGAATTCTGACTGTTGACATGTTGAAGTTATTCAGAAGTGTATATGTAATTAAAATCAAAAGTAATGCCAGTGAGGTAATCTGGTTAATTTGTCCTTTGTGCACAAATATTTACATGGTCTCTTTATCTAGGTATTATTCAGTAGGGGAAAAATTATCAGCATTTAAATCCATCCCACCAAAACCAAGGAGCTTTCCCTCTTCAGAGGTGTTCTGCAAATGTACATTGTTTTCCTCCCTGTTGGAAATGTAGGTCTCTGTAAAAGCATACTCATATTACTTTGTTATATGAGCTGCTAAAGTTTTTCATGTTGGTTGCTGGTGCCCAGAGGACGAGTAATCAGTTATTAAGCTAATCAGCCTTATGCTGTAGCACATCAGTTTGATGAGGTTCGTGTTAAAAATCTGGCATAAGTATTTGTGACCTTCCTGTGTTAGCAGAATGTAATGCTTTCCATGAGAAGATCAACTTAACAAGCAGATTTAATCTGATGGGGGGGAGGGGGGTGGAGGGGGAAAGGTCGGGAAGGGATTGAAACTTGCTGTGCTAGACCTCCACCTCCACAGCTATGGCAAGCCATTTTTATCAAACTAAAGTTTCAGTAAAGAACATGGTCAAAATGCTAGGCAGTAAGGCTGTGTGCAACTGTTTGGCATTAATATTTACTGGCTCTCACTTGTTAATGAGTGGATAACAAAAGATTAAAAGTATCCACTAGCTATTTTGTTTTGCTTTTAAACTAAATTTTAGAAAAATCTTGGAAAAGACTTTTTAGTATGTGATATCAGTTTACTTAATGTGCCAAGCATGTTTTTAGACAAAAAACAGGAAACCTGGATAGGTCTGACAAATAATCATCATGTTGTGCAGAAAAATGCTGCAGTTTGAGTTTCTGATTAGGTGAAGCTGTACTCCAGAGCCACTTGGGATTATGTTAGTTCCTAGTGAGAATGTGTATAGTATTTTTCTCAAGAAAGTAGATGTCAGTTTGTGCATCAGGCTTGCTTGGGGTGGAAAGTGGGGGCCATCCAGGTTTATCAAGTTGAATTTTGCATTCTGCAGCCTTAATCAGTCTGAAGCTAATTAGCAGCCTCTACACAATAAGGCCACAAGTCATTAATCATAGGAGATGAGAGCAGTCACCCTCCAATCCTCAACATTTCAAGAAGTTTTCTCTTGCTTTTTTTTTTGCGATAGGGCTTCAAAAGTCGCAAGATTGCTTTTCATGGTCAATAGTGTGTGAAGTATAAGCCATGTCTTGATGTGACAGACAAGGGACCACTGTTCAAGGACCCATTGGACCTGCTTTTTTAAATGCTGTCTTCTAACAGAATGGAGTCAACTGATGACTTTATTTGCTTTGAGTTGAAGCATAGTTCAGATCAGAGTAAAAAAAAAGTTTTAACAAGTATGATTTTTGTTAAAAGGAAGTTTGAATTTTTTACAAAGCCTCTTAGTTCTTTTTAAAAGTTACAATCCTTTCTTATGCACAGCTAATGAGGAATGAAAGTCCTTTCACATGCCTAATACAGTTTAGTACAGTGTGTCTTGAAACTTAATGCTAACAGCCACAGGCTAAGCACTGGGAAACCTTTGGAAGGGGAAGAAAATAAAATCTCTCGAGGCTATTGGTCAAACTTTTTCAAAACAATTTGAAGCAGTACATTTAAATATCAGGTTTGTTCTCTTAAATAGAACTGAGAATTAGGTTGTACATCATCTTGCATTCTATTTTGCCTATCCTCAGATATCTATATTATTCCCACAATAGAGGGATAAGTATCTAAAATAGCTAGATGTTATTTGAAATGCTTTTTGTGAAGGAAATACTGCTTCCTGGGTCTTTCTTACTCCTATTTTCTGTTTCTGGGGAGTGTGGCTGAAATCTGTATGTTTGCGCATTTCTAGTGGGTCTTGGTCTGTTGTTCATAGTATGTCCCTTCACCTGTTGATAGTATCAACAGTTCCAGGCTAAGAAAATTCTCAGTCTTAGAGCCATTTAGAGCTTCTGGATGGGACTGCCAGGGACAGCAGGTGATCTTACAGGCAACTTGTTCATAGAGATTCCTTTCACTGACGAATTTCCAGTATAAGCAGAACTGTTTCTTTGTAGGACAGGTTTCAGATGCCTTGAAGTGTGATCCTCGAGGCCTTCTAGTTATCATATTAGCCTGCATTGGCTTCATTTTACTTCAGGAATTACAATAACAGAGAGAAGCTAATGGCCTTTCTCTGTTCAATTGTCCAGGAGTTCCTTGTTCCAGCAGGCACTATACCCAACTCTCCATCCATCCCTGTGCCTGTAGTCATCTGCTGCATGAGGAGGATTGCTTTTAGAAGGTGTTAGCTGGGGTAGCAAACTCTGTGGTGGCAGAACACTGCACAGCACTACCAGCAACCGTGGCATATGGTGATCTACTGCTCCTCTATAAGCAGTTCCAGTCGTGCTTTGCTTATTTCTCTTGTTTGGAGAGACAATTAATGTTGAAAGTCTCTTCCCTTCTAGGGAGGGTTGGCCTCTTTTTTTTTTTTTTTTTCTTCCTGTAATCAGTCTTTGAGATAAAGACAGTGAAAGTGAGAAAAGAAAAATTATAATTAGGAGGCTAAAACAAATGAAGTCAGTGTTCTGCCTCCAGAAGCTCAGCAGGCAGCCATCTATACTTGTAACGTGGGTGTATGTTGTATTTATTTGTCTGGATCACCAATGGATGTTGTCCTTGGACTATTGTTCTAATTCAGTAAGAATGCTGTCTCCAAGCTGTTTGACATCTTCTGTTTATTCTAGAATTCAGGAGAGAGTGGGGATCATCAGATAATCACTTTAGGTTGCTGCAGGGAGGTTACCCTCATCGTAAGAGTATGGTATACGTTTGTTTTGGTGCATTGTTTGCTCTTGAGAAAAGGGCTAAGAAGCCCTGCTACGTGCCCCCTTTCACTGCTTTTTGGTGTGTCCCCACCTCACGCACACTTGCATGCTCACTCCTTGCTTTGCAGTTCTCAGCTTTTGGAATGTGCACCCAGCAACAGTCCTGCTCCAGCTTTCTGTGCTGTCCTGAGTGGGCCTGGCAATTAGGTAAAACGCGTTCATGCATCCCTAACAAAAAAAGGCCCCATACAGAAACTTCAGCAATGCACTCTAGGAGCACTGAAAGAGACATTGCATTCCACCTGTCGTATCAGTGCAGTAGTGCACATTTTGAAAAGTTCCCCTCAAGTATATTTAAACCATAGGCTGTGGCACTGGTTATAGTTTATTGTAATAATTCATATGTTTCAGTGAAGGCATTTGCTTCCTTCTCCTCTTTTTGTGCTACTGGGGAAGATACGACATGCATCCACATACAAAAAAAAAAATTGCAATTAAATGACATTAAGGGTTTGGCTAAGGCCACACAAGCGGAGTTAAGACTGATATTCTGTCATTACCTCAGCTCATTACATCTTGTTTGTTTGTTACTTGTACGGTCCCAAAGATAACCCTTCTGTCTGGAGAATCCTGTACTACCTGGAAACAAAGGGAAGTGTTATGCTGTAGCTTTATCTCTGAAATCTTCGTGCTTTGCCAACTTTCCTCAGTGTTACCATAAAACAGGTTTTGGTGACTTATATGTACTAATGGCATTAATTAAACTATCAGCCCAGCTGAATGGGAGAAAATGTGTCTTCTGAACTTGTTTCTTGAATAGGAGTAAATGCCTCATTAATCTTAAGCATCAACCAAGAACACTGTGTTTGTTAGATAGAATAATAAATGACTTTACAGGAAATACACAATAGCAGATGCTGGAATGCATCCATTCATTAGTCACTGTGCATAAATATCCCCTTATTTCCATGAAGAGACATTTAATGGAGGGCCGATCTGACAAACATGCACAAGCTTTCACTCACTCACTGAGAAAACGGAAGGGAGAAAATGTCATACAAATTTGCCTGCTGAACACAAAGCATCACATACCTTATCATGTGTGCTTTTCCTGCTCCTTGACTTTGTTTCATCAGATTGAAATGTAGCAAAGGGAAAACTTTTGGACAGGTTTCAGAAGCCTATGAAGCATTATAGTTATTTCTGCCTCTTGGTTACTAAGTCTGTTTCATTAGTATGTCATCTTGGAGACAGTCACCAACTTCACTCATATTAATACAGACTCGAATCTGGGTTTGGTGTCTGGTAAAGTCAAGGAAAGCTATTTGCTTATAGAAAAATAATGTTGAGTTGTGTTGTGTATTTTTTTTTTTTAAATCAGCACTTCCCAAGACAGTAAGAAACAAGCTCGTTTCAGTGAATAGTAGTTTATATATAAGCATGTTCCATACCCTCCTGCTTCTGCTTTCTGTCAACTTCTGTAAACTTGTATTTATTCTCTAGTCTTGTAACATAACTGAGCCAATGAAGTGCCTCTGGCCAACAGGTACAATCTACAATTGTTTAAAAAAAAAAAAAAAGTCAAGCCCATATAGTAATTGTGCAGAGGGAAAAGCAAAACAATCGGTCAGAACTCCTGTTTTTCTTGGACTGTTGATTCAACGTACAAGAATGTTAGGTATGTTACAGGAGTGCCTAAATACATGTAAGTTGCTTTGTATGCTCCCTTGTTTCTCAATCCGTCCCTTAATGAAACTTGACAAAAGGGTTACATTTTAGCATACTATTTCTTAGAAAATGTTAACAGAGCGTTTGTATGTCCTTTTGTGTTTGAGATCTGTCTGGTTTCTATGGCTAAATTGACCAGAAAGACAAGGCAACCTTGATTTATGAAACAAATTCTTAAGCTGGCGATTACACTATGTACCAGAGGTATCGCTGTGCTATAACAGTACACATTCCACTTGGGAATACAGAAGTCTTCTATGTAAGCATGCCGGGTGCCTTAAACCCATGCGTTCTTCATTGGTGTTGCAGGGTTTCATGCCAGAATGCTAACCAGGGTACAAGGCTTTTAGCTTGCATGGGCTCAGCTTGGCCACATAGTATATGGGAAGAAGTTTAATTTCCTATACTTGGATTTTCTGAGGAAGTATGGATTTGATAACTTGCTAAGAGGCCTCACTGGTCACAGGGATGTTGGGAGATGTGCAGGGACTTCATGTGTGATTTAGCACACCTTCCTATCTGAATAGAGAGCTTCTCAACCTTTTATGGTACTGTTAAATCAAGCATATTAGGGCAAAAAAAAATCATGCTGGGTACTGTGGTAACTTGGGAGACATCACTTTACTTTTCTACAGCTTGAAGTTGTGGTCATTGCTCAGAAGTCCTACTTGTATGAACAAGCATCAGTTTGCTTACAGAACTAGAGCTGTACTTCAGCAGCGAATTACTAACGAAGTCAAGGGAGATGTCATGCTCAAAAGGTGATAGACAATGAATGATGATAGCAGTCTAAGCTTTCAAAGGTGGCCAGTGTTATTTTGATGCTCAGCTGAAATACTGAAGAGTTTAGTGTTCCTGAGAACAAGGCCCACTTCCATTGCTACAGAACTACTGCTAAGCTTCTTGTATGTTATGAAGATGCAAATTTTATTTTTCTGTCTGTCTATTTCACCATTAAGATCCCAGGGGAATCTCACTGGTAAACTAAAGAATTTTGATTTTTGTCAGATTACCTTTTAGTGTAGTTCATATTTTTCCTGCGTTATGTTTCTGGTGTGGTTCTGTGTGGGTAGGTGTACTGGTACTGGGATTTTAGTGTTCTGTGTGAAGCTAACTAGACAGTTGATATCCTTCAAAATCTGTCTCACTGTGTGCTATAATTAAATTTCTATCCCAGCTGCAGCTACATTTCTGTGACTATCTGAAACCCGTTCACTATATGCAACTCTAAACTGAATTGCACCAAATGTAACTATCTTAGCATTGATGAGGCAGCTGTGCAGTTAATAAAACCTAGCATTACCCTTCTCTCCCGTGGGGTGGGTCATGCTGCATGATGGCAGTGGAACATTTCCACTGTTGTTCCCAACAGGTCAACTGTAGCTGGAGCCAGAAAACTGCTTCTGGAAGAGAAGGGCAGAATCATTCTTTATAACTGGAATGCCGGGTGGGAATCCTTCGGCCTCCATCTGGAACAGCTTTGACCAAACAAAGGCCACAGATCTGCCTGCACTACAGTTGGTGGGAATACTGCCACAGAATTCCTTGGGAGCAACATTAGGCTTCGATTATGGTCACAGCAAGAGAGTAGTACATGTACAGCTGCCAAAAAATATTAACAAATAATTCTAGAAATGTTTGTCTCTTCTTTCCTTTCTTTTTATTTTACTTTAAAGCAACTAACAGAAAAGCTTTTGCCTGTCAGGAATGAGAATTATAAAACCTAAAACCAAAATATCAGGCCCCAGCTCCCTCTGCTTACAGAGAGACAGGTTAGGAAAGGCATGGTTTGCAAAGTACTTTGAGCCACTGTCCCCTCTTCCAGATGTAGGGTTGAGCCTTGACAGCCACCGGTGTTGCCCCCAGCACTCCCTGGGAAGTACGGCATTGCTGAGTGCAGCATGCCTTGGCCTTTCGCTCTCCTTGCACAAGGGCCCGTGCTGGGTCTGCTCAAGTTTGCTTCTTTTGTGGCCAGATATACTGCCGGAGTGAGCTCAGCAGCATAATAGCGTAAAATGTAAAGGGCAGGGGCCAGAGAGCACTGGCACCTCTCAGATAGCCCCTTCTCACCAGGGGCATCTCGTCATGCACTTGATGCATCTGCTCCCTGTTCTGTGCATTAGCTCTGCTTGTGCCTTGTTTTATGAGTGTTTCACAGCATGAGTGCTCTGAACAGCTTTCTTAAGCTATAATCTTGATGCTCTAGCTTTGCAAATCAGGATACCCTTAACAACGGGGAGAAGAGTATAAAGCGGAATTTGTGGATGCTGAATTGTTCCCTGCCTGAAACAATTAAATGTTTGGGCGGAGCCTAGACCTTTCTGGATGCTAATTGGAATAGAAATTAATATATAGTACAGCAGGAAGAACTTACTGCAGAAAATCTTTCCTGAAAACACAGTGTGGACAGATTTAATTCCACTAGATTAATTTAAAAGGGAAAATGGCATCAATTATGTTACATAACTTCCTACAGTTATGTGTTGGTAACAAATGTAAAGTGTTACGCTCCTGAGGTCAGCAGAGTTTTTACCATTAACTTAAATGCAAGTACAATAGGATTTTTAAAATGCTTTGTCTACAGACTTCCATAATTATTCCTTTCCTGTGAGGCCTTTTAAGAAAGGACTATAACATAGATTTTTCTTCTTTCATAAAAATTAATTCAAGACGGTTAGAGATGCCTCTTTCTTTGTAATTTCTCTAGCTGTATAATCCAGGCTTTAATGCTGACCACAGTGTGAGAGCTCAAGTCTGGAGTGCTTTGTATTTTGTCCCATGATGTTTCTTTCCTGAACTACAAAGGAGAGGCCTTTCCCAAGGTGAAAAACCAGAAATGTGGTCCTGCTAGTCTAAAGGCGGGTCAGAGTAGTCAGTGAGGTATAAGGAGAAGAAAGCCAAAGGCCCTACTTGATGCTGTCTTTTCTTATTTTGACTGAATGTTTTATGTAGTTAGTGGGGAAAACATAAGCGTATAAACAGCTGTTGACACCAAAGAATGCTTTCATTTCTAATTCTATAAAAAGACCATTCAGAAGCTATAGAAATTAGTGAGTAATTTTTGATTGCTCAGTATCTTTACTTCCTCTCAGCCTAGGGAAAGTGAGTGTAAAACCAAATCGACTTGACTTGCTAGGGTTTTTGCTTTGCAGTTGCAAAAAGTGGCACAAGCTTTGGAGCAAGTCAGAATGTAGCTACAGCTCTCTTACAACCAAGATTACTCAGGCCAGCTGTTAGGAGCCAGCAGGAAATTGCTGTGGATATAGAAATTAGTGAATTGTTTTCTAAGTTTTTGGAAGTATACTTTTTCCCACCTTGTGGGAAAGGGTATGTTCACTCATTCACTCCTCATTCTCTATACTTTCTCTATACTTTCTCTATACATGCTCTATACAGAGAATTTATTTTATTTCTTTATTTCTTAACTGATCAATCACTTGGCTTTGCAAAAAATAAGGTTCTATGAAACATGATGCCACAAAAATATGCTTACACAAGGGTAGTGAAGGGAGAAAACCTACAACCAAACTACTTGGTCTAGTATAGTTTGCCAGCATGCTGTAGGATATGAGGACTACCTATGGTGTCTGAGGACATCAATGTGTAATGTAGAAGTTTAATGCTATTCAGCTTCATATTAAGTAGATGAGACAGATTAGAGTATGTGTATATCTAGATGCACTTGCACAGGACCAGGACCCCTTTCCACTCATGGTTCTTCAGTGACTTATTATGTGGCTCAGAAAGCTGTATGACACCATGGTTTTCATCTTGCATATATGCAAAGATGCATACACTCTTACATATCTGTTTTGCCTTGGCAATTGGCATGGTATTTAGGCTGTTGTATGCTCTCTTAAAAAAAAAATGCACACAGAATTGCTGCAGCTGTGCATGATGTGCTGTCAGTTGCAGGCACTGCCTATATGTCTGCATGCAGAGTGCTGAGACTGATCTCACTTGGTGCTATGCTGTGCATCTTGAGCTCTGCTCTTAACCACGCAGCAATTAGTCCAGCTGTGCTGGTCAGGATTTTGCCTTGTCTGCCTGCTCTCCAGAACTGAATCCTGATAGTCTGGGACTTGGACAGACCCAATACACATCCCTAACATGGAGTCATGAAAGATGGTGTGGTTTGGTTCCACATCCTCTTACCCTGCTAGCAGCTAGCACAGATGCACAAACGAAGCCTGTGACTAAGCGTCACTTCGACTTGAATTCAGCAAAGCGCTCATTCAGGCTTAATCTTAAGCACATGGATAATCCACTGCTATTGAGCGACTTAAATACACCATCTTTCGGGGAACTAAGTATGTGCTTGGATGCTGAAATAAAATCTTTTTTTCTCCAAATAAATTCATGCCTAGCTATAAGTACAAACAAATGCTAACGTACATGGCTAATGATGCTCTAGCCAGAATTACTCATCGTTGCAGCTGTACATCCGAGTGTAATTTTAATTAGAGTTTAATTATCTTTTCATTTATTTTCTTCAGCTAGTAAATTTATACCTTGCTCTAAGTTTTCCTGTGAGTATAAATTAAAGCAACATTAATAACATTATATTTGTCCTAATTTGTGTATCTGCATTTATTTATCTGTTTTTTATTAGTCATAATTAAGTATGTTTGGAGAGATCAGGCAACTAATCTATGTGTAGTAGAAAATAATGCTAGGCAATATCATTATAATAATAAGACTTTCTGGTTTACCGAATGGGAATAAAAATATCATACATTTGTGATTAGGGTTCGTAAAATATTGAAAATATTAATTTGAGGAAAAGCTGTCCAAATAGCAATTAAAATAGAAAAAAAAAGACTATTTGACACTGGAAGTTGTTCTAAAATGATCTTGATTTTTTTTTTTTTTGTTCAAAAGTTGCCCATTATGGAAATTAATGTCAACTTAATTTACAATTATTTAATACTTCATTATGGAAATTTATCTCTTCTGGAAATATTTGTGGAGAAAAAGTTCAATTCAAGCATTTTTACCAACTTAGGGGAGTTCAAGTTCTGCAGTTTTTTAATGGAATGAGTTATTTCTTAGATGTATTGCCACACTAAATAATTTAAGAATTTGTATTTCTGCTGACACATCTCCTTCGGTCCAACTGCCTTAAAATCATTCATCAATGTATGAGAAAAGTGGAAAACTATTATGAGCCTCATTGTATACAGCAGAAAACTCAGGTATTGGAAAAACAAGGCACAATGGGTTTAGATAAAGTGACTGATAATTTGAATGATCATGTTTTTGTATGCTTTACTTAAAATGTCTTAAGAAGTAGCTTATCTGTACTGGAAATGTATAAACTGTTTCTTTTGTCTTTCTGTAGTCTGTGGATCATTTCAAAGCATTGCTTAGCCAGCATGCAGATTAGGGATGGGCGGCTCTATTGTGTTACTTCTGTTTTGTAGTTCAGAGTTACTTCTCCTTGCATGCCTGAGTCAGCTGGCCTCGCTTCTCTGAGGCATCGAAAAGTTCACAAGACATGTTCTTCTTTTGTTCTTTCCTTCAAATTTTATAGATTTTGGATGGCTGCTAATGTAGGAGGGCTGAGTGTCTTAGATACACATCATTCGGGGAGCAATAAATATACATGTAAAGTCCTGCCCCCTCCCCACCCCACCCCCCTTTATTTTCCATATTATGAAAAATAGTCCCTGATTGTACCCTTCCCCATTTAACTCTAGCCTCTCTCAGGTAGCAAGACGTGCTGAGGAGCTAGCAACCTTACTTCCCATATGGCAGAGTGCCTCAGACAGGGACATGGTATGTGGTCATAGACTGCCTCTGCAGAAGGCATGGGATTCTTGTGGATTCTTGGTTTGGAGGTGGGTGGGCAAGGTGAGGGACTGCAGGGGCCAAGTGATGCTGGGGACCAAGGCTAATTGTTATATTTGCATTTCTGCAAGCTATTCTATGACTGGAGGATGTCACAGAGTAACAGGTCTAGGAATAGTGAAAATGTTTTTCTTTTGAAGTATAAGATCAACACAGTAAGATACATGGTTGATGTTTACTGAGATTCTGTTGTCTGTCCTGTATGGCCAGCAAGTGGTAGTAGGATGGTGTTAAAGCTCTGGCTCGTAACTCTAGAACTTTAACAGAGTGCCTCTGACTAAATTTGACTCTATTTCTCCAGGCAGTCATGAAGTTGGCCACAAAATAAATGTGTTGCAATGATAACCCTAAAGTAACAACAACCTGTGCCTCCTATAAGTGGTAGAGTGTGCTTTCTGTTCTCCAATTTAGTGGAGCGGTTAAACGTTGTGTCTCTTCAGAATCGCGTAACACAGAGAGCAGAAATGGGGCAAGCCAGGTTTACAGAACTTTTGCAAATGTTTTAAACATTTTCTTTTCTAAGCCACACAAGTCTTGCCTGAGGCACCATTCCTAAAATAAAATTAGGCTTCTGAAAGATTTATTGACTGCTTTTGGAATTCAGTGTAGCCGTCTTTTTGCTCATTCACATAATGAGACAGTTGTGAAACCCTGACTCAGGGGCAAACTAAGCCCTCTTCAGAATGGGGACAAATGGGAACGTGTGGTCACACACATGCTCCTTCATCCTAGAACTGAGGCTCTGTATGCTGCACAGGCCATGCTGGAGAAGGGCTACAGGCAGCAGCCCAAGCTCCCTGCTACATGCACTGTGAGGACTGCTGAAGCCCACAGGTACTCTTGGAACAACTGGTGCTATGTATGGAGTAAGGAGCTGCAAAGGCATGCAAAAGCAGATCTGTGTGGTTGCTTGTGACTACCCTGTCCCCTAACACAGCTTGTGCTTGCCTGTTGTGACATTCTGATCTTTCTCATTTAATTGCCTCTGTGTTGGCTCTGGCTCATGGTAGGGGGTGATTAGAGAACCAAGTTCCCCTGCTGTGTTAAACAGTCTTGTCTTAAGTGACGTGTACCAAGCGCATTACATCCAGTGTTGTGTACTTCACACAGGAAAAGACTGCAGCAGCATTTGAGGCTGTTTCAGTTGATTGGAGCTAAAAGACCAGAACTTCCTGCTGCTACTGCCACTCCCATCCCCAAGCTGTTTCAATGACTTGTTGTGCTGGAATCAGCCCCCCTCTGGGTTGTTTACTCATCAAAATTGCTTTTGTGATATAGAGGACGTCTAATGCATTTCAAAATGTGAAATAGTCTTCAAACCAGATCCAGCAAAGGGTCTGTATCTGTTCACACAGTTTCTGTACCTATGATACTTTTCCAGTAAAATCTTTCAATACACATTCTGAAACATATTGTGTGTTTTTTTTTTCTCCCAACACTGTCAGCCATAAGATTGATTAGATTCAGGTGACTTGAAGGAAGTAAAACTGTTTCTACTCTGCACCTAATTCTTTCCCTTTTGTCTTCCTGTGCAAATACAAATAACTAATGCAGGCGAACAGTAAATTGCACTGAGCAGTGGAAGTGCTAAATGGTAGCAACACTTAAAACATTGCTGAAATTCAAAAGAGCAGCTGTTAGACATTTAAACCTATCATTCTCTTCTGAACATACATCAAATTTACTTCATAGCACTGTCATAAAAATGTATGAGAATGTAAATGCTTGAGTGACCCATTAATCTTTTGAGTAGTAAACATAAAATCTTCTTAACCCCAGTGATGATATAACCATACTTTATTTTGAATGAAGGCTTTATCATAGAAGTGAAGATGTTCTCTGTCTTTCCATGGTGTATAAATAAAAACAAATTAATATTAAAGTCTGATGTCTATGAAAAGTGTACCATTATATTGATTGCAATATGAAGATATATGCAGTGAACAAAACTACGCTCAATTTCTGATGAGCACAGAAAATCTAATAATAAATACACAAAGAGCATTAGCTCATTACTCATTGACAGCAATCACCAGTCTGATGCTGTTATCATTATTATTTACTAACTAATGCAATAATGAGTGTTGTTCTTACAGAATTGTCCATAAAACCTTCCGTTTTATGTCTCAAATAATAAACCTGTCTTTTTAAGTTGTGTTTTTGTGGTTAAGAAAAAAACACCCTTAAATATTGGAACTGTTGATTGTTCAACTCCATACATAAACCACAGTCAGTTTGTTTCTAAGCAGGCAAAACTTGCATTTATATCAAAGTTAATCTTGCTTTTTTAAGGACTTAGAAAAATATATCTTTTGGCTCTGATTTTATTAGAGTAACTTTTGGAACATTGCTATTCTTTCATTTACTCCTGGCACCGCACCCTTTTTCATATAACTTCCAATGCCTCTTGAAGCCCTGTTTGAAAGACATCGTGACATCTTGTCTAGCCCTTAAAGGTGAAAGACATTGCTCATGAACAACAAACTACTTTCTTCTCACAGAGCTAGATCTAGCCTTGATATAAGTAGGAGAAATTCCATTAAACTTCTGAAGTTGTCCAGTTCAAAGCATTGTGCCCACAGGGTAAAGAACTGGGAGAGTTGGAAAACTTCTGTTAAATAATCAGTTTCATTCTCCCGCCTAGCAGTAACACTGAGATTTCTTAAGCAATAGTACTTCATGTGTGGGGAATTTAATTTATTCATAAAACACTTGAAAAATGTTCAAGTAAGCTTGGGAGAATTTGTATCCATCACTTTGGAGGTGACTTCGATGAGGGGAAAAAAAAAGTTAAAAGTTATAAATGAAATAGTCTAACAGATTGAGATGATCTGTATTAATTTAACTGTAGATGCAAACCAGGCTACATATTCTATGACAGGCATATATCCCTAATAAAAATAATAAATAAATAAATCTCCTGTTTGCCATCTTGATCTTTCCATTCTTTCCAAGAATGACAGCTTGATCATTCCTTCAAGCTGTCTCTGAAGGACAACCTGTTGTATTAACTCTCCTTTTGAAAAAAAGTAGGTCTTGGTGAACAACAGACTATAAAGTGTAGGGACCTTAATTAACTCAAAAAAAAAAAAAAAATACTGTCTGAATCTGAAAAATGTACTTTAACTTGAAAGGCGGGTTGCAAAAATCAAGCCATGGAACAGAAGCAATACATTAGAAGGCAGTGTCAGCCCAGGTTTTCATGTGTTTCGAGTGCTCCCTTTGAAAGTGGCATGTGAGTCAAACCAAAATATCACTGATGTGATAAATTTATAGTCTGTCTCATCTTTATTTATATTAATATACTGCGTAGCTTTGGAACCAAGGGATGGCATGCTAGAATGAAGGCAAGTCTTTATGGAGTGTTGGGGTTGAGGACAGTAGGCTGGAGGAGCAGAGTAAATACCCCTTACCAACCAGATCAGGGCCCAGGTTAACAGTATGTTTATTTATACTGTAGTATGAAGTGCTACAAAATCAGGTCACAGCAAGTTAAATCAGGTATTGTGGGTAAAAGACTAGTTAGGTAAGTGGTGGAAGGGAAAGATAAGGGAGGAAGGGTGTAGGTTTTTTCTGCTAGGTTCCCCAAATATTCCTGCATCCTAGTTTCCCAGATGCACATCGGTCAGAGGAAACTTTCCCTTCACCCATTCTTCCTTTACTGTAGCACAGAATGTTGTTACTTCCAGCAATGAGGTCAAAAAAAAAAAAAAAACTCTTCTTTATCTGTGGGCAGAGGAATCAGTTTTGCCAACAACTGTGGCAAAACACTTTTTTCCACTATTATATTTACTACTTTCATAAAGCCTGAGTTAAGATAATTTTGAGTTTACTCACAGATTTCCAAGTGGCCTTCCTCTTATTCCACTGCTTTGTTACTATGGGGTCGGTCTGGGAAAGAAATAAAGGGAAAAATGATAATGTTATGCTGAGCGTACATATAAAAGTATATGAAGTGTAAGACAGATATCATTGCTGTAAGAAACCATGTTTGTTTAAAAAATATTCATTTTTTACTTTCTTTTTCAAAAAATATCCAAGCATATTTGATAGTATTGTAGTGTTCACGGTGGATCTATGTACATTCCACGTTCCTGGGGAGGTTCCAAAAAACCCAATTCTTAAATAAGCTCACATGACTCATACCACCTGCAGGATACAGCTGAGAGATGTTAAAATGCCTGCCAGTGAGGTTAGTGACAATCTGAACATATTTGATGAGGTTCTGGGAGGTCTAAGCCACAATTCTGAATAGGATTTCTCCAAGACTAAGAAGGCAGTACACAAATGAAATGTCTTACAACAGGATAAAGTCTGGAGGAATCAATTTGATTTCTCACTCTGGCTGTGAGTGCTTTTGCAGTCCTTGAGCGCTCACAGAAAAGTATCGCTGTTACTGGAAACACACTCAGGAGTTCAACAGAATGTATATTAACTGAAAATAAAGAACTGCAGATAACAAATAGATCTGAGTCAACAAGCTGTTAGTAAGATCGTGTTAATAAATGACACAGCTGTCTGAATTTTGATACCAATCTTTCACACACTGTAATTGAGACTGAGGTTTTATATCCGATGCCTTCATGAGCTTCCACCTTGGCATGCCTGAGCTTGCATGATATTTCGTGTAGACCTCTGTGATGTGTATT